CTCTGAGCAAATCTTTGCTTAAAGTGCTTTTGCAGAACAGCCCAGCACAATGACTGCCATTCAGCTGACAGATGCAAGCAAACAACAATGGTTTTGGTGTATTGAGCATGTTATCATGGGAAAGAAACAATCTATCTTGGGAAACAAGTCAAAAGCTTAAAAATCATAGGTGAAGAAAGAACTGATTAGACAGCAACAGGACTTGAAATTACAGATGCTATAGAGAGCATGAATAGTTTGTGGTACACAGTAAGAAGTAAGGGCTTTCCTGTTAAATGAGCAGGCAGCACCAGGAGCAAAGGAAATACTTTTCCCATTTACAATAGAAAATTAGAAAGATTCAGTCAGATGATGTCATGGAGGCTAGACACAGACTCAAAAGAGGATTAAACAACTTAATGAAGGACAGATCCATTAGTGATTATGAAGCAGGATGGCCCCAAATCCAGCTTTGGCTAAGAACAGTCCTTAACTGCTGATTGTCAAAAGAAAGGGGGATCCTTCCATACCAGTTTTTTCCCTTGTAATTTTGACCCCACCGTCTGTTACAAGCCCCAGTCAGACACAGTACACTGAACTAGACAGACCAATATAGCCTGACCCCATAAGTCTTTTTTCTTACTCTCACAGGAGATTGCAGCCACAAGCTTTTTTGCATGACTACTAAAAAAATGTTCAGCATGGCACGGACTTGTAATTTCTTACCCTAAGATGTCTCCCAGGCTAAACATGCATCCTCAGCCTACAGTGTTCCCCCCTTACAGAACAATGGACCGTTCTCATGACACAGCCACCACAACAAAGCCAACACAGAAAATAATTATGTAGGGTCTGAGCTCATGTTGAGATCATAACAGGTCAAGGAAATGCCACCAAGGGACTCCTGGGTGGCCTGAGGGTCAGAGGGGATGGCAGGACTCTGACAACTCTTCCAAGCAGAACAGGAGCTCTCCTCCCAGCAGCTTTCCTCCAACAAAAACAAAAACTCCGAGTCCAAGAACCTGACCCTACCCTCACAGTAGTCGCAAGAGATAAAAAAATGACCGTTTTTGTTTCCACTGAACAGCTAAGACTTCATTTGCTTTAAAACACAGCATCTGAGAGAGGAGGGGATCAGAAACGCCAGAAATCCTATAATAATTAATAGGAAATAGAATAGTCAGGAACTCCTCGAGCCTAAGCCTGGAGTGCCCTCTAGGGGTAGAAGGCTGAGGAGCTGCACACCCCAAACTACTTCCCTCGCAGAAGTCTTGGACCAAACCAAACCCCTCCTTAACGAAGTCATGGTGATGATTCATTTAGTTTATATTTGCCTAGACAAAAAAATAAATTATGTATCCACGTTGGCCGAGTTCTCCTCCTCTTTGTCCTGTTTTCCCTCTGATCCATAAGGCTGCTGCCCAAGGCCTTGCTTTGTGAAAAGGACTTTCTTCTCCATTAATACAATGACCCAGCAATGCTGAGACAGGGATTCCTTGACATTACAATAATTATCACATAACAAAGATAATTCACGGGACTGAGCACACCCCTAAACTTTGGCCCAAACACCTCCCCACTGCAAAGCCTGGCTCTGATGCTCACCTGAGGAAAGCAGGCAGGACACTGGGCTCTGCAAGCCCTTGCAAACCCAGTCAGTGCTTGCAGCAGCGAGTCCGAAGCTTTGCTCACAGAGGCCCAGGTAACTGGAGGAAGGTGAGACTGAGGACTGATTAACAAAACTGTCCTCCAAAGCAGTATGTCTGTGCTCACCAAAGTATTTATCAGCCCTTCAGGCCAAGAAGTTATGACTGGATGCAATCTGCTTCATTATCCTGCTCGCAGAGCTTAAACAAGACCTGCTAGTTTCCTAATTTTGGCTGCCTGTCCCCACCCCACCCGGATTCCCATGGAACAGATGAATGAAGCCACATGTGCTGAAAAATATTCCCAGAGGGAGCAAACTAGAGAGGGCTCAGCTACCAGAGAGAACAAAATTGGCTACAAAGGGGCAAATTTCACACAGGACAAAATTAAGCAGACAACTGAGCTTCCCTCTTTGCATGTGTCTGTCCCCAGGACTGAAACAATGCTGGTGGTTTATGTCATACTGGGTTTGCCTTCATGCCATTACCAACGTGTCTAGGAGCAAGAGTCATAACCCTTCTGCTGTAACCATAGAACAAAATGTGTGTGATCAAGATGGCTCCTCTTCCTTTTAGTCTTTGAATCAACAAGCAGGAGCATTTGCAGAAGCTACATAAATATAACTAGAAAGCAAATTTTGCAGCTGCATGTGCATCTGCACCAACAACTCAATTTAGGGAGTCACGTTTACTCAGCCAACGACAAGACTTGCCATGTGGCTTGTGTGTGCAATCACAGATAAGCAAGTTGAACCTAGGATATCAATGTTGATAATGAACTGCTTCCTAAAGAACAAGGATCATTTACAGGTATTATTTGGTGAAAAGTTTCAGCACTATTGGTTTTCAGAATGCTGCAGACAAATTCTAAACAGAAAGCAACAGATGCAACTAACTTCAGTATTTTTGAGAGGAGATATTTCCACTATAGTTTTGAAGTCCAGTTAAGTCTGGAAAAATTACTCTGATGAAACAAAACATAGGCAAACCCCAACTCAAACACACCACACAAAGCTCTGAGTCAGAGACAACCAGCCTTTCCTTCCTAGCAGAAAGAAAGGATCTGGATACCAGCTCACTTTGTGCAACAGGTTACACACAGTACACGGTTCTTGGAAGCAGCACAGGTGTAAAGCAATGGCCAGCCAGGAGCTGCTAAGTAGCTGGATCTTGTCCCCATGCTCTTCCTGGCCAAGTAATCTCCCCAGCACCAGATCACAAGAAAATTCTCAGTTGCCAACAGAACTCCATTCCTGAGCTATCATCATAAACTTCTGGCCTTCCATAATAAATGTGCTAAAAATGTGCCTTCATACTAAGTAGTGTGACACATCAAATTAAGTTTTCTCAGAGTTAAGCTGTTGGGTTAAGCTGTTTATGCTACATTTTTGCACCAGGGTATGTTAAGTGGTTTCAAACACAGCATGTTACACAGGACTGCATTTCAGGTTGGGCCAGCAGAGATGCTTTTACCAAAATCACACATGTGGACACAATTAACAACGTTCCCAGGCATTAGCCACCCTGGCTTCCACTCCACACAATAGGCCTTTGTTTGAAGCCTGGCACTGCATGGAAGGAATTAAGAGCACAGCACCAGAGGAACCCTTGCCAGCAGATGTTTTGACTTGCAGAACATGCAAGTTCTCCCTAGTTTTTAATGCTCATGTTGCATCCACAAATTAATGGGGAGTTAGAGATTGGAAACACTCTCTTGAATCAACCAGAGCAGAAATACTATTGACAATAACAAAGCTAACCATCACTGGGCTCCAACTGGCAGAACTATTTCTTAGAGCCCTATCTCCAAACCTAATCACCCCAGAGTGACCAAACCCAGACACAACAGAGAATTCACACCTTCTCTGGATGCAGGTGTCACCACTATGACTGAGGGCTCAGCTGGCTCTCAATGAGCTGCTGCTGATGCCCCACACTAAATCTAGACTGGTTCAGAATATTCTTCTACAGGCTGAGATGAGAGGATATCTGAGTGGTAGCTGTGCTGATTCCCACTAAATCGCCTGGAACCTTCTCACGGATTTCAGTAGCACCATCTTCTTCAAAGGGCACAACAGCAGCACAGGCTGTCTTCGTCTTTTATGTAATAAAAGGTGTCAGATGAAGGATTCTGCAGACCACATCCTCTCTTTAGTAAGCTGTTGCTCTCTTCATACATTCCCAATATCAACCCTTCCCCAGAAAAAGCAAAGGTGGTCTTCCCATCTCCAAAGCCCACTCAGTCCAGGCATCTCTTCTGACACTGTCAGTAGGGACATTCTGCCTGAACTGTCCTTTTCATTCTTTTTACAGCATGGGCCCCTACTAACAGAGACCTGAGAGAGGGCTGCCAGCACGTTACAACAGTCACCAAACAGCAGACGAGTGAAGAAATGACTATTAGATTGAAACAGGTTTAAGCTTCTGGGACTCCTAAATGGATGAGCTATGGAGACTGCTTCATCCCCAAAAGTTAACACAGGCTCCAAAAGAAAACAAATTCTCAGAAGAAAAAACCAAACAAACCAAACAACCCGAAAACAAACAAACAAAAAAAACCTCACAAAACCTAAAACCTGCTGAGGACTAGTAATGAGAAAGACTTCCTCACTAGGACAGTCCAGGAGCTGAAAGCTAGGCTACTAGCTAGTCAGGGAAAGCATCACCATGTAGTTCTCAGGCTTCTCCCCAGCAGCAAGAACACTGAGGAAAATTTAACTTGATTGTGTATGGCTGTCCTTTATGTTCTTACAACTGACACTCATTTAATTCCAGCCCAGGCCTGAACTTATTCTTCAGTTAGCAGTGTTGGTTTTGTTACCGCTCAGGAAACAAGCATTCAGTTTCCTGTGTTTGTCCAGAAACCACTGTGGAGCCATCAGACTGGTGGTAGGTGCCGTTTCCTACCAGCCTGGACTGGTTTTGTCTGCACATGGACAAACAAGCTCTCTGGTTTCCATTACCGTTTTCCACTAGCAGCTTTCTACTACTGCAGGATTTTGCTAACAGCCTTTGGATAGCTTCAAGATTCTTGTCCTTGTATCAAAGTCCTAAGCCACTGAGATACAGCAGTATAGGTTTTGAACTTCTAGGAGTCGTTACTATCGCAGAAATAAGGAAAGGCAGCCAAGTCCTTCCATCAGTGGAGATGGACCTCTGTAATTAAGTGATACGCTAGCTTGCAACATCTTTTGCTCTGAGTCAGCAGACAAAGTTCACCAGCATCAGTTCCAGATCACAAGCTTAGAATCCCCCTGTTCTAAAAGGAGTGATCTGACCTCCTCAGCACTACCTTATGATATATAGGGCGCCTTCATAACAATGATGCAATTCACAGATTCAAACCCGCCCCCGTCACACTGTCCATATTCATACCTCTGTTTCAGGCCGAGGAATAAATACCGGGGGCCTCATCTTCAGAGTCAGGTCCTGAAAGTCCCACTCACCAAGCACATACTGCACCGGCATTCTGTGGCAAGCAAAAGCAAAGGTGAACACTTTAGGACCATGGTCCACAACACCAAAAAGCTCTCAATACTATGCTTACCTCATTACTAACCAGATAACCCTTCTGAGGGTGAGCACCCAGACACCCCTAAGGCTCTTGTCTGCACATGCAACGTGCATGTGCGCTCTGAGGGAGCTGTGGGAGCTCCATTCCCACAAAAGAGTTTATCAAGCCCTAGACCTGGAGAACTAAAGGCCAGTCAGCCTCACTGTGATACTGGGGAAAGTGATGGAACAAACAGTCCTGGAGATTGTTTCCAAGTATACTAAGTATCGGAAGATGACTGGGAATAGTCAACACAGATTTACAAAGGGAAAATCATTCCTTACTGACCCAACAGCCACCCATAACACAACGACTACCTTGGTGCTTGAGGAGAGAATAATCAATACTGTTTATCTTGACCTTCCTAAGGGTTTTGATACTGTTTCCCATAACATCCTCATATACAAGCTGATGAAGTATGGACTAGATAAATGAGGTGGACGGAAAATTGACTGAACTGGCAGGTTCAGAGGGCTGTGTTCAGCGCACAAAGCCCAGCTGAAGGCCAAAAGTGGAGCCAATATAGCATAACATCTTCATTAATGATTTGGATGAAGGGACAGAGAGCGCCCTTGACATGTCTGCAGATTCCAGAAAATTGGGAGAAGTAATTAATAGACCAGATGGGTGTGCTACTTTTCAGAGGGACTTCAGGAAGCTGAAGAAATGGACTGACAGGAACCTCATGAAATTCAGCAAAAAGTAACGTGTAGTCCTATAAACTGGGGAGTAATAACTTCATGCACCGGTAACAGGCTGAGGGCCAACCAGCTGTATAGTGGCCTTGCAGAAAAGGCCCTGGGGATCAAGTGGGCAAGTTGACCATGAGCCAGCAAAGTGCCCTTGCAGCAAAGAAGGCCAATGGCTTCCTGAACTGCATGAGGCAGAGCAATGCCAGAAGGTCAAGGGAGGGAATCCTTCTTTCTATTCAGCACTGGTAGGAAACGTCTGGGGTGCTGGCCTCCCAGTACAAGGAGGGACATGGACCTACTGGGGTAAGTTCAACAAATGGCCATTAAGATGAAGGGACTGGAGCATGTGACATACAAGGAGAGAGACTGAGAGCTGGCACGGTTTAGCCTTGAGAAGGGAAGGCTCGGGCTGGGGGGGCAGTGGAGGGAAACCTCAACAATGACCATATGGATGTGGTGAGATGGAGTAAAGATGATGGTATCCAGTGAAAAGACAGGCAAAGGGCACAAACTGAAATACAGAAAATTCCAGTTAAACCTAAGAACCACCACTTTTTTCTTTTCTTCTTTTTAAACACTGAGAGGGTGGTCAAACACTAGAACAGGCTGTGAAGAGAGGCTGCATAGTATCTATCTTGGATATACTAAAAACTGAATTGGGCATGGCTCTCGGCAACTTGTTCTAGTTGGTCCTGCTTTAAGCAGGGAGGGTGGACTAGATTTCCAGAGGTTGCTGTCAACCTCCATGATTTTATGAATTTTGGGGCTGTGTCTTCAGCTGCTGTGAGGCACCATACCTCACTTCACGTGGAACAGCAGATATTTGTTGCAACCTTAACAGCACTCAAGACAGAGCAACTTGCAAGTCAGACAGCTCTGGGAATTTTGTATTTCTGCTCCTAACACAAAACTCAAGAGCAGCAGGAAACTTTCAGGGAAGACACTCAGATCCTACAAAGAGTAACCACTGCTAACAGACTGACTCCCTGAGAAATCCTCACAACCTATTCTGCATAAGACATGACAGCATTAATCTGCACAGCAAAATGAGGATCCACATCATAACCACACTCACATAAACAAGCAGGAGGATGCTACCTCCAAACATACTCCCAAACATCTCCCACCCTTCTAAATGATCCAAGTTCCTGAATATTTCTTCTCCTCACACACTACTCCCCAGGCCCAGCCTGATTCCAGGTAGCTCCTTCACACAAAATCCATTTTATTTTTACACTAAGAGAACCCCTCGCACAGAGCAAGCAAATGGAGGCTAAATGGAGACCAAAGCTACAGCAGCCACAGGTACATCTAAACACCAGGGAAACCCCTCTGCAGGCAAATCCTAGAAAGGAAAGCACAGCAACACCACGGAGCAGTATCAGACAGGCAGCTGAAGGAAGTGCTGAATCAGACAGAAGGGGCCAAGGCTTTTGTAAGCACCAAAGGGCTTAATGAAAATGCACCCAACTCTGAGTCAATATTGCCAGTTTCCCACATCCCTTAAACCCTCTCTGCTCACAGACAGGATGGACAGGTGAATTGCTCCCTGACACCAGCAATGCCCATCCCCTGTGTCACCACGAGAGATGGACACAGCACTGCTACTTGATGTATCAGCTGCTAATGGTCTTCTGCATTCTCCCTGCTACCATTCTTCTGGCTGCATTAAGACTGAAGGAAAACCCTCCAAAGGAAAGACTGTAAGAGGATGCTCCTACCTTTCTAGTCGCTTGTTGCTCAGCTGCCGGATTTGCTCCTCCTGCACTGCTGTAAGCGGAGCGTGGAGGCTTTTGGAATTCAAGCTCTGAAACTGAAGACAAGGGCACTTTAAAACCTGCCCACTTGTGGCACTTGGGTGTCCTCTGCACCCTCCAGGGAGACCCATCTGACAAACACATATGTCTGGGATGGCTGGCAACTACAAATGACTAGGAGAACCTATCTGCATGTTTAAAAACAAAGTTGTACAACTGTTTTAGTGCTACTTTTTGGGACTTGGTAGAGTAGGTAAAATTAAGAACTATTCCATCAAGCAAGTCAGGGTACACTGTGGGCATATGTCACTGGGTTACATTTCAGTCTCTGCAAAAGAAGACATCTAAGAGACCCCAAGTGTTCTACTCGCTTTAGTAAACTATGCCTCACCATCTCTGCAATCTAAGGAAGGAAAAGTTGTTCTACTTCCTGTAAGTGAGATAAAAAGAAATGTAAGGGATTCAACCAAAATGACAGAAGTGAGAGACACACACAGGCCTTATTCTTTTCCTATTACTTAACTGTTTTTGCTCCCAGGACAAATGACACGATATATTCACTGGATTCTCGTGCTTCAGGGATCCCATTTGTCTCAAACACCTTCTGCCAGTAGTTGACCACATCAGTAGCAGTCACGAGCCCAGGTCTTGCACTGCAGCTCTGCCTCAGAGATGTTGGCTTTGGACTGAGGACAGGACCTTTACTTTGACTCAATCTCCCTGGCACACACAGAGGTGAGAGACTCAACAACCTCCTGAGCAGTGGGGGGATGAGGCACCTCATTGTTGTAAAATCAGTTCCTGGCTTCCACATGTGCTCCTCGTTGCCATCAGCTGATCTCGTCAGTGCTGAGATTCACAAGACACTTGGTGCTACCACAAGCCACTGTGGCTAAGCACCAGCTGACCACAGTCAGTGGATTCTCCTCAGGGCAGCATGAAAATGGCACCGGTTTGCAGCTCTTCTGGTCTAGAAAAAGAGGCAAAAGTACAGCCTGAGTCCCTCAGCCTAGCAAATCACAGGTTCCCCTCTGGCAGAATGCAGACTGCTTGCCCTAATCCCAGCCCATAGGTACAAAACCAATTATACCCTGAGACTAACGAAGGATCACCCCAAGAAAAGACTCACGTGACAGCTAACCAGCTCTGCCACTGGAACCCATTTCTTCGCAGAGCTGCCCATCCCCACGGACCAGAACTACTGGGCGGCCAGCCCGTGCCCACAGCAGGGCAGAGGCGAGCGTGCCTTCCCACAGGCACAGCACTCCTGCCTGTCTTTGGTCCCAGAAACCCACACACACAGCAACCATTAGCTCCAGCCCTTGGGTGGGTCACCCTGGTTCCCTGCAGGAAGACCTTCAGCCTTCTCCTAATTTCTTTCTTTTATTCCTCTCTCTGTTCATAAACCACAAGTCCTAGGTTAGTGGGTGTGCTCACAGAAAACCTTGATTCCATGGATCAAGGGTCTTCCACATTGTCACCATCCCCAGACAGCAGACAAGGGGCCACAGAGCCAGGGCTGAGCAGCTAGAGCAGAGGAGGAAGAGCTCACAAGGTACAACTAGAGGGAAAAGAAACAGTTGAAAGATGCAAAGGCCAGAACAGGCATATCCTGCCAGAAGGAAGTCAGCCTTTTAAAGGAGAGAACAGGCAAGAGCCAGACAGAGAGGGAAAAAAAAACCCAAACAAAATAACTGCAGGAGACAAAGGAAATGAAACTTTACAAAACAGCTGCTGCATATCGCACTTGGAAATGTGTGAGACAAACAGAACAACAATCCCACTTTCCTGCTGTGATCCACCAGAGTTGAGGCACCCCCCTCCCTTCTGACTCACAGTCCCTGGAGCCACTGTGGGTTTCCCTGAGCACCCGTTCCCATTCTTCTATTGATGTCTGCTTTTCATCACTGTCTCAGACAGGCCACAACCTCCCCTCCTCCAGTTCCTCCAGAAAACCACCACACAAACAACAAAATACCTCTCTGGAGGAGCAGGGAGCACCCAGGGTAGGTGGCTCGCTGTGCTGTAGGAGTGCTGCTGCGGGCAGATCTGGGTCAGCTCCCACCTGGGCAGATGCTGGCACTGAAGCCCCGCAGCAGCCCTGGACCCTGATGCACCAGGCACCCACGCAGGCAGCAGCCTGGGGCCTGCCCTGCTCCAAAACTGTGGGAAGAGTCAGGCCTCCACTGCCCAACTTTGCAAAATAAAACCAAACAGAGCCCAGGGAAGCAGCAGAGGCAATACCCTACGGCAAAGAGCTCAAGATTGGCTTACCTGCTACCTCCTGGCAAAGGGGTGGGTGCTCTATGAGCCCAACGATCCCTTTCTTACAGTCTTCAGTACCCCCAGCAGAGAGACAGGCAGCCCCTATGACAACTTGCCTTTATGTTATGCATAAGCAGTCTGACAGCTACAGTATTTACCCAAGCAGCTCCCTACCCCAAGGCCCTGTTATGGGGATACTGCCACAAGAGGAACACTAAAGGAATAAAACATCAACCATTAGTGTTGCTAGGGGGACAGATAAGACTTTAATTAGCCACGACTGGAACAATACTGCCAGTGCTGTCTTTATTAATAAAGGACACCAGCTGCTGACGTGCAGTCCCTGTACGCTACTTCTTGGTGTGAATACCTATTTGCACACAGGTAGGGAATAGATTTTTTTTTTCCCCCCTGCAGTTCTGTGGTTTGGTCCAGCCAGCCTCTGGTTCCCCACTCACGGCAGCCCACCACGCACGCTGGTGGCTGCCGGAGGGCACGGCCTGTGCCGCTCCCGGCCCCTGCCCTTCGCTCCCCGGTTCGGAAGGAGCCGGGCCCGGCGCCCTCCGAGTCCAACCTTCCCGCGGCCGGGCCAGCGCTCAGCCCCGCCGGCCGTACCGGGGGTGGGGGGGGAGGTACAAGTCCCCCTTTGCCAGCCCGGGAGCTGCCCACCCACACCTCATCTCCGTGACCGGGCGGCTCTCGGGCGGCCCAGGAGCCTCGCAGAGCCCCGCCGGGACCGCAGCCCGGCTTTCCTTCCAGCTGTCCCCGCCTTCCCGGCACACGCCGTACCCAGACCAGCGCCAGGCCCCGCTCCTGGCCGGCAGCGCGGCGCTGGCGCCGGGCCCGCGGCCCCTCAGAGGCGGGCGAGCGCGCCCACACAGCGACGCCTCACCTCATGGCTACCGTCACCGGCGGGGCTGGAGGCGCAACTGGCTCCCACAGGGGCCGGAGCGGAGGGCAGCCGCCTCCCGCACCGCGGCCTGCGGGGGGAGCTCGGGGAAAGGAGGGAGGGAAGGGGGGGAACGGCCGCACAACCGAGACGCTCCCGCCGGTCGCCCAGCGCCGCCGCGGACGCCCGCAACCGCCCCGCATTATGAGTGGCAGGCGCGCTGGCCAACCGCGAGCCGCGGCCTGCGGGCGCCCACCAATCGCTTGCGGCGCAGAGCGGCGGGGCGGGGCCGCCGGCCGTGCAGCGGTACGCGCGGAGCTGAGCGGCCCGGCCCGGCCCGGCCCCCGCGGGCAGCGCGGCCCCGCGGCCGAGGGTGCGGCCCCCCCGGCAGCCCCGGCGCTCCGGGGGGACCGGACGCCTCAGCGGGGAGCGCTCCGTAAGTGCCGGCCCCGGCGGGCAGCGGCCGCCCCGGCGGGGGAAGGGGAGGGGGGTGGCGCGGGACGCGGCGCTGAAACGCGGCTGCCTCCGGGGGAGGGGCGCGGCGGCGGGCTGGGCCGCGCCGCGGGGCCGTGCCGTCCCGTCCCGTCCCGTCCCGTCCCTTCCCGCCGGGAACGGGGAGAAAGGCAGCGGCTCCCGCAGCCCCTCGGCGGCACCCACCCCGTCCCGGCGAGGCCCGCCCAGCCCAGCCCCGGCCGGGCGAGGCGAGGCGGAGCGCGGGCAGCCCTGCGGCGGGAGCCCCGGGGCTGATCCGGCAGCGCTTCCAAGCGGGAAGGGCCCTATAACCCGTTATCCGCCTGGAAGCTTCTCCCCGCGACGGGGAACGAGTGCCTTCCCGCCCGGCCAGCCCCGCGGCTGCTGCGGGCGGCACCGCCCGGGGAGGGAGAGGCGGCTGGGCGATCGCTTGTGCTTCAGGTTTCCATCGGCGCGGAGTCGGAGGAGCGGTGGCGCTTGGGGGGGGGGCCCGTGGTGCCCCCGGCAGCGGGAGGGGCCGCTGGGGTGCTGCGGGACCGGGGGCACACGCGGTTGGGGTCCCCCCTACCCCGGGGCCTGCTCTGCCCGGTAGCAGCGGGAGAGGAAGCCGCATCCCGTAGCCAACAGCAACCCAGTGCCGCTCGCTTTGCTGAATTTACTAGAGACACTTCGTCTTGGTGAAGTAACGCAGAAAAAAACACTAGTTATTATTTGCCTTCTTCACCCAGAGACCCTGTGACCCATCTTCATCCCTGTGACACAAACCTCTATTCCTGTCATGCCCGAGAGGAAACTGCAGCACAGAATGATTAAAACCAAGACTCAGAAAAGTCAGCAGCCTCAAGCTAGTGCCTGACAACGATGTTGTGCATCTCAGAGGTGTTGGCCACTGGAGCGCCCTTCAGAGACCAGTTTGGAAATGCTGGTTTAGGAGAGAAACAAACGTGTTCTCCTTATTCCCAGGCCCAGCAGAGCCCAGCACAGGGCGGTCCTGGCTGTGTGAGCAGCTCCGTTGGTGCAGGCAATGGAAGAATGCCAGCTCGCAGCAGCTGAGGATCTGGTTCCTCTTCTGTTCTGTTCTATTTGTGCGTGGACTATGCTGAAACCTGCCAGCAATAGGTAGTAGCTGGCCCTGGCCCTAGAGCAGCCATCAGAGATTTGGAGTGTGCCCAGCCTGCAGATCAAACTTCCAGCACCAGGATGTCAACTGGGAAGGGAAGGTGGTGGGAAAGATCATCCACCCTCAGCTCTACCGTTGTAAGCCGTGGGCCCTGGGCCAGAGGGGGCTTGGGAACAGAAATACCTTCATCTGGACCTGGGACTGGTTGCCTAAGCCATGTCAGAAACCTGTCATACAGGACCGCTGTTAGAGCTAGATCTGTGGGCTTGGGAATCCTTCAGCACAGACAGGGCCCTCAGAGGGTGAACAAGAGCCCTTGTTCCCACTTGACCAGATTTTCAGCGGGCTAATTTTAACCTAGCTTGACTACTCAGAGGAGCAGTGCACAGCGCAGTGTGTGGTCCATACAAAAGCAGTCTTGCCCAAAGGCTTGGTATCAGCTTCAACATCCAAGTTCCAGTGGTTTTCCAAAACTGACACCACACTGAGTTTTGTTTCCAAAATTCAGGAGCTGTCAAGATCTAGAGCCATACTTTCTAAAGCCCTTGGGCCTTCTTCACTCTTTTCACTTGGGCTCTTTTTCCACTTGTTTCCTTGGTGGTGGCTTTTTTAAAAATGTGAATTACCATCATGAAGAGTTTCCCTGAATAGCACAAATCGATGATTCTGTCTGCGCAGCTGCTTGGTCTGCCCAGTATCTGTTCAACAATTCCTTCCCTTTCCCTCCTGGGCTGTAGCTGCTGCTGCTATTGTGGCACTTGCGTTTCAAATTTGCCGTCTTTGTGCCCAAATGTCCACTTACACCTGAGCTCCACTATGATCCGTAATAGCTGGGGAAATCCAGGTGCCACATGGTTTAAACTAAGCGTGCATGGTTTGGTGGTCAGTGAAGGACACAGTCCCTTTCAGCTGCAATGAACTCAAGTCTCAGCATGATGTTAGGTGGGACCAGGCCAGAACTGCTATCTTGACATTTCTCGAGAAGCTCACAGGCGTTTGACAGCTCCCCAAAATGCCCCAGCAACTCCTGCTTCACAGAGGTGTTCACAGGGAGCTGTGAGACAGATCCTGCGTGTGTGCTGAGAGGCTGACCTGCTTGGGGAGATGCAGGACAAGTGCTGTGCGAGCCAAGGTGGCTGCTCGGGTTGCTGACTGCCTGCAGGGCAGCCTGGTGCTCTTTGCCTGATGTGATTTCTCTGCTTCAGCTGTGACAGATGTTAATCACACTGCTTAATGCAGTTATGGACAGCAGTAAGGTGTCACGGTAATGGGAACTGCACAATAACCTTGCCTAGAATAGAACAGAGTGGAGCAGAACAATGGCTCATTTCTCTTTGCAGGCACATCTTTTTCCATTCAGAGCTCATTAACCCCTATGTCCCATCTGCATTCCAGTCCAGAAATGTAATGTCTGTTAAACTGCAGAGACATTATCAGAGGACTGCTACAATAGTTCTCAGGGTCGACACTGCTCTGGTCCAGAGGTAGCTGCATTTTTATGGAAGCAATTGGTGAACTAATGTTACACACAGTGGTTTTATAAACAAAGTTGTGCAAATACTTCCCATAGGATCATCCCATGATGTTTTGCAACTCCTGATCATTTGCACAATTGAAGCATGAAGCAATTAAAGCCTTTCGTGTTTTCAGCATGAATAGATCTATCAAATTTCACAACTCCAATCCAAAATCGGACTCATTTTAAAATTAATATTGATAATTAGCAGTGCATGACTAAGCTTGAGTGGGTGCTTTCACGGGGGACTTGAGAAATACTCACTGTCTGTAGTAGCAGATGGGGGGACTGATGCAACCCACTGCTTTAAGGAAGCTGCCTTTCCAGAGCACATGGGCTGAGGGACAGCGGGGCGATGGCCAGTGCAGTGACTGACCAGTCACCAGTGATGACCACAGCAGGGAAATCCTACTCTGGATTCAATAAAGAGCATCCTGAGATACGGATGCCTCACAGCTGAGTGCCATTTTATTGAGTGTGGGTGTGTTCCCACTGATAAGGGGATCCATGCAACTTTTCAAAAATTAAAAGGAAGAGGCAGAAGCAGGAAAATGCTGTGTTTCCCAGGGTGGATGGAGGCCACCTGGCTCAGCCTGGAGCATATCAAAGACTGAGGTTGTCCCCACGTAGATCTGCCAAGTGCCTGCAAGGAGGCAGAGCTGAAGCAGTGAGGGTATTGTATATCACTGACTTGAACTGAATCAAGCATGACTTCAGGGGCTCTCGGTACCCCTGGAAAATCTTTTTCTTATTTTGAGTGGGCATCCATGAGCTGCTCTCAAAAAATGTACTAGTAAATTGGGAAACTCTGGAAAGGTTGTGCCCGTCTCTAAGAGCTCTGCACTGTTCATTTGTTCTCATTCTTTCCTAGGCAGAGACCACTGTGGTTCCTATGAAGAAAACCCATCAGCGATGATGCTACAGGATAGGTCTCACATGAGGGTCCTTGATAGGAAGGGCAGCTCTCTGCTTCTGTAGCTGATGGGTGAGGACAACAACTCAGTAAAAGGAGCTACCAAGAGCTGGCAGGATGAGTTACAGCTCACCTTCTGTGCGTGACTTGTATCACAGCACCACGGCCAAGCCAGACCCAGGGACAGCTCTGGATGTGACTGGACCAGAAACAGCTACCATAAGCCCTGAGTCTACCAGTTTCAACAGCACCAAAATCCCCGATGTAGCCAGCACTGGACCTGGCATGAGCACAATGCTGCTGTCCTTTGGGATCATTACTGTGATTGGGTTGGCTGTAGCTATGGTAAGAGAGCCCTGTGAAATATTTCTGTCTGTTGAGGGTGGAGGGTGGCAAAGGGGCTCTAGGACTGATTTGTGTTGAATAATTAATTTGCATTCTACTAAAGGCTCATCCAGAACTGCTGGGAACTGATAGTTCCTGAGATCCCTTTCTTTTTAAGGCCTTTATCCAGTGCTCCAATATTTCTACAGCCTCCCTGAGGTCTAGTCTGAAGGGGATGCTCAGCAGGCCTAGAGGAAGTCATATGTAGTATCGGTATTTATTTTATTAGCAATAGGAATTTCAGTTAAAAGAATACAAAGCAGATTCTGTTCTGACTTGTTAACTGGAACAGCTGCATTGATTTAAACCTTGTCAACACAGGGGCCTGGCCAGAAAGTTCATCTAAATTAACTTTAAAGCAGACTGTTGAAACCACACTAATCCCCCCCCCCGCGGACAAGCCTTTTTGAATTAAAGTGGCCTGAGTCCATTTTAGCTAGACTCATTCTGGACTGCATTTCCAAGGTTCTGCTTGCTGGGTATCAGCAAAGTCCTTGAGGATTTTCTGCGTAACTAACCTTGCCATTAATGCTGTAGGCAGAAGCTTTCAGAAACTATAGTTCTGAGCCTGACACAGGCAATGCAAGTGCTGCAGTTCTTTTTTTGATATATAACCAGATCGTTTACCTGCCAACAGAGAACAGAAGGTAGCGGCAAGCTCCCATTCCTTGTATGAGGAAGAGCTTCACTAATACAACCATCAGAGGAACCTACAGAAAGGGACTACTGCAAAATTTCATTGCAGGCCCAAGGAGGAGTTTTTCCAAAAGCCCCTAAGAGAACCTGGACACATTATCCTGGATACGGTCATAAGTTCCCAAGAGCAACATCCAGCGTTCGTAGTTCTCAGAACAAGGCTCTGGAGGCCAAAAGCCTCACTTTCTTCTCAGCACAGCCACTCTTACTGGCTGACACGAGGCAAGTCACTGAGCATGCCCTCTTTGCTTCTTCCCTTTATACTGGGGAGGGGGTAACAGCACTTCTACGCTGTAGGAAATCTACAGATGAAAACCACCAAGGGAAGGTTCTTCATCCACTCTTAAATTTCAACATAAGTCCTGCAGAAATGTGCTGAGCTACACCTAATACTCTTACTACTACTAACACACCTAATGACAGGCCACTCGAGCACTTAGTGTCAGACATGATGTGCTGCTGAGCTTACACTGATGCACATGAAATTTCATTTTCGGTTGTCACTTCTCCCTGCTTTGGTGCACAGTGACACCAGACTTGCTACACCTCCTTTCTGTGTACCCTGTGCCCAAAATTTCTCTTCTCAGCTGTTCCCCATCCTACTGGGACTGTTGTAATGATGGTTTTCTTTCTCCTTCAGGTTCTGTATATCAGGAAGAGGAAGAGGTAAGTAACGTCTGTTGCTGGCTGAAGGGAACTCAGTACTTCAAAATGCAGAGGGAGTTAGGAAGGAGACAGGGAGATGGGGAGGGTGTAAGGGAAGACTGAGAACAAGCCTACGGGGAATCAACAGCGTGTGAATGCAGCAGGAGTAGGGACACTGCGCTCCTGATATTGGCCCACCTTCTAACACTGAGCTTCGAAGACTCTGCAGCTCTGGAAAGGAAAACATGGTTGAGCAGGAAGAGGTTCTGGATCCTGCAAACTCTTCATGCTTCATTTATGAGATGCACTAAAAGAGAGGAAGGGGTTATGAGTGTATAAAGAAGCTGGGAACTCTGTCATGAGAGTTGTGGATCTCACATTTCGGCTGTTCCCAGATCCCTGCTTTCCAACAGCCTGGGCCCACGACACTGGCCTTGCAATGCTGAAGGCCTCTTTAGCTGCAGTCACAGCAACTGGCAGCAGCACATTGCAGAGATGCAGTTTTCTAGCCCCAGACTTAGTGTCTTAATTTCCCTGTGAAGCTCCTGGCTAAAAATAGAGAGGGGAGCAGCACGCAGGGAGACACACGTCTTGATTCTTCATTCTCTGACAGCAGAGATGCTGGTGAAGATCCATTAGATGTGGTACCTCCTCCCTGCCTGACTCCTTGTGGCACGCCTGGTCTGGCCACAGACCTTCAAGAAGTGCTGCTGCCCACTGTAACATTTCCCAGCCAGACCCTGAAGCCCAGATCTGGGTACTGCCACAGGAGCAGCTGAAGCTTGGCCCGTGAACTTAGCACTGCTGGAGATAATGGCTGCGTTGGCAAACCCATACAGATGCAGGGAAGGCATGTGTCATCCTAACACTTGCCAAAATAGATATTTGTGGTGACACTGCCAGTAACGGCTTGTATGTTTTCCCCCCCACCCCAAAACTCTGCTACAGCCTAAGGCAGGCCTCAGTGTTTTCACAGGAGCATGCCCACCCACCCATCCTCCATCTCTGAGCAGTCCAGTATTTAGGGAGACCCCCTGGGGTGACACTTTATAGCTCTGTCACTTGGAGCAATGATACAAGAGTAAGAACAGTCTGTCCCCAGATTCTCATAGGAGGCTGATGCCTATCTCTTCCCTGTTTTCTATTTATTATTTTCTATTTATTTTTATGTCCTTCAATGCCAAAGTTAAAGTACTACTCTTAGACCACTGGATCTAAAAGTGGGCTTCTGCTGGCAGACACAGTGTGACATGGCAGAACTGGCAGTTGTGGGCAGAGGGACGGGGGGAGATGTCGCAAAATGCCTAGCCAGAATATTCCACCGTCTCTTTTGCCCCACCACCTGAAGCTCGATCTTTTAAGGTCTGCAGGAACTGAAATCCCTGTCCGATTCCTCTGTGTGTAATGCCTGCCGACACAGATTAGTGATGGCCATTAATCCCTGTAACTGCACTCTGGGTATCTTCCACTCCCACCAGCTGTGTGTAGTAGGTTCTTATCCTCATCCCTGCAGGACAGGACATGACCCTCACCCAGCAAGAGCAACAAGAGCAGAATCCCTGTGCAGCAGGAGAAACAGCCTGCAGAAAGCCTCAGCAGTGGGGTGGGGAAGGCAGCCTCAGCATCTGTCCTCAACCAACCCTTTCCCTTCCCTCCCGTGGGCAGGCTGGAGAAGCTTCGGCACCAGCTCATGCCCATGTACAACTTTGATCCCACTGAGGAACAGGATGAACTGGAGCAGGAGCTGCTGGAACATGGGCGAGATGCAGCATCTTCCCAGGCATCGCAGAGCAAGGTAGGCGGCAGGGACCAGCGAGTCTGTTACTACGACCACTGGTACCTGCACTGCTTTTGTTACAAAGAGTTTCTGTAGGGTAAGGAAAACATGTAAGACCTCAGGAGGACTTCCCCCATCTCTGCCAGCCCTGAAGACAGGGGGCTTGAGAATTTTAGAGTGCTTACAATGGATGGAAGAGTTAGGCAACTAGGACAGAGAGCTGGGGGAGGCAAACTGCTGGCTCTATTCAACTGGCTCTACTCACCTAGGAGAGAGAAAAGGGCAACTGCAGTAATTAAGGGTGAGTTTACTGCAGTTTACCACCCTGGGCACCACCAGGGAGCAGTAGGATGAATTTTATTTTCTGGGAGACAGAGCTTCTGTGCCCACAAAGCACTGAGGCTCCTTTGCCCTGGCCCTGAAAAGCAAATAACTTCCACCCAGTTTTAAGGTATCCCTGCTTCGCCTAAGGGTGCAAGCGTGGAACAAGGCCTTGCTGAGGGAAAGCCTGTCATCCTAACAGTGAACTGTGCTGCAAACCCTGAAGAACACAGGCAGAAAGCCTGCACGTTGTTGTGGCACTGCACATCTGGTCTTGTCGGCACCTCCAGGCCAACCTCGCTGGGCACAGAGCAGGCATGGCTCAGAAAGGGAAAACAGAGGAGAGTTCTCTGTTTGAATTTGAGGAGAGGGGAAAAAGGCTTTGCTTTGACCACTTGAGTGTTCAGAGACACGTAGCGTGCTGAGAAATGGTAAGGTCCACAGAAACCACTGGTTTAATTTTTCAGTTAGGAAAGAGCTTGATAGCTTGGCCAGTTGTTTTTGGTTAATGGTCCAGAGGGGACTTTGGCAAGAGGCTGTGTCCTTCCCCAGTGTACCAAGAGGTAGGAGAAATAGGGAAGAAGGGTTTCTCACCATCATTTGCAGCCAGCTTCACAGTGCTTTCTCTTTCCTTTGTCACCGTCACCACTCAAAAAGCCTTTCTGAAAGACAGAGCCGGCAGGAATGGTTGGAACAGGTACGTCTCTTAGCCAGTGATGCAGCCTCCCCTTAGAGTAGACATCTCTCTTGAATTCCTCTCCAGCTTCCTTGTGTTGCCCGCCTTCCCTTGCTCTTCCAGTTCAGGGAGCAGGAGTTCTCCCAAACAATCCTCAGTTTCCGCACACTTTACACCTTCAGATAGTCTGTAGCAAGCTTGGTGTGGGCAGAAAGGGAAAGAGGAGATAATAAACACAACTGTAAGTATACAATGTTTACCTTGAGACATGCTTCCCAACCTGCTAAAGAGCACAAGAGAGATGTGCGTGTTGGAATATGAAAGATAGTCAACATATTCCATACACTGGTTTGGGAAAGCAAGAAATACTGTTGTATAAAAGCAAAGGATTTTGTCCTCTGAGTAGTGAATAATGGGAAAACATGAGTGCACATAGAGGACATCCCTTCAGGTAGTAAAGGGGGAAAATGACAAGGCTAGAGTTAAACTTAGCATAGTAAAAGCAGATCTTGCCTATATAGGGACTGGCCAGCAAGATACCTCAGATCCCTCCAGAGCTTGCTAATGCACAGGTACCTCTGCTTGGAAATTATGCAAGTTTAAAGGCTTAACATAATAAGAGAGGGAGAGTCTAAAACAACAAGTTCCGTCTATGGCATGTTTCCAGGCCTTCTTGATGGTTCAGGTTCTTTTCATGCTGCCTTGCGTATATAAATAATGAGACCCAGTAATCCAATGATGTGGGGATTTTAAACTGGCATGGATGTGCTGGCTTGCTCTCTGGCCTGCTGTATTTTTCTGTCACAGCCTTGTTAACTCCATGTTAGTCAGCCAGCCTTAGTAAGGGGCAGAATCTAGTTACAATACTGTGCAGTCTGTGCCCAAGCACACACACCTGAGCAAAGGCAGACTTGCTGGGTCTCATCTTTCACTGCTTCAATGCAGATTCTGCTGACAAGTCAAGGAGCCCTCCAGAGACCCAGCCGTCTTGTGTTCACAGACGTTGCCAATGCCATCAATGCGTGAACAATACCTGCCCCTGCTCTGGGATCGTGCTGAGACTGGGGAGGATGAAGCCAACAAACCAGTGACTTCCCGCAAGCATGGCCGATCCACTGAGCCCAACTGGCCACCCCGTTGGTTTGTGTTACAAATGGGCACAAGCACTGGGAACTTTCGTCACTTTGGGAAGCAAACCCTTTGTGATGGCAGTGGTGATTTTTTGGTGCGTCTGCTACCACTAAAAGGTTGTGAGCTCCAGTTTCTGGGCTGGTGCTGACTGATACCATCTACCAAGCTGTGTGCTTAGGAACAGTGCCTGCTTTGTTGTAGATTAACTTGTCAGAGCACGTGTGTGCGCTCTCTGGGTCAGGGAAGGAAGAGAGGTGCATGTTTCAGAGAGCTTCCCCATTGGCTTTGTGCTACCAGACCCCAAGGAAAGCAATGAATGAGCCTCTGCCCCATGACAACAGCTTTGGCAGATGCTGGAGGGAAAAGCCCCTTTGAGCAAGGAGAGGTGACTCCCTCAGCTGAGTGGTAATCTGGGGCGTCCCTGGGAAAACACATACTGTGGGTTTATCCCCCCTGTGGCACGTGGGCTGCTGATAAATGTGTGCCCCAGGTGATGTTGAGGCATGGGGGGATTCACTAGCTTTAAAAAGTGAAATGGTGAACATTTGGCTGATTACATCTTAACTGAGAAAGTGGCTGAATATGCCAAATTAGGGCTGCTGCATAGACAGCAGGGAATTCGCGCAGCCAGAGGCAGGGGGTGTCAATGTCTGGCTACGTGACTCTGCTGCTGAGCCAGGAATAACAGTGCTTGGGCCACAGAGAGGAGTTGAGTAGAACTGGGGTTCCAATACCATGTATTCCCCTCCTGCTTTGGCTCAGGGGAGTTTCTACAGTGCAGAGTGTTATCCAGAAAAAAAGAGTAACCCTTGAAATATTTTCTTTTAAATAAGGAAAACCATGTATTGTCTCAACATTACAACAGCCCCCTGTCTGCCCCCCAGAGGTGACTGAACAGCTGGTTTGTGCTTCCTTACCTGCCCGGACCCGCAGACAGAGCCTCCTCTTCTTCCTGCTGAAGGAAACACGGAGCTTTGTGTTAGCCTCTGCTCATGTCACCTGCTGATGCAGAAGGTGGGACTAGACAGGTAAGCCAGGAGTTTCCCCATAACCCTGAAGCATCTCTGCCTGTGCGTCCTTCAGGGCTGCAGGAGGGGGAGAGGGTGAAGGGGGCTGTCGTCTGCAGAGCCTTTTGGTGGCCATCAGCCCTGAGTGCTGCAGGCCAGCACAGTGGCCCAGGGCCAGCAGCAGAGCCTACATGCAAGCATCAGTCCCCAGCCATGTGCTGATCACCTCCTGATTTTTTTTGCAGTACATGCATTTGTCAGTCAGATCATATTCCATCCACAGCATCAGTCAAAAGGGAATGAGGGCAAGACAAAATTTGAATGCAGATCTAAAAGTAGGCTTGATGCAAGGAGATGTTTCACTGAGTGGTAATTCAGGTATCATGCTTTGTTGCAAGTTTGGACCTGCCAGTTAGTTTTTGTTCTCCTAAATATCTTTTTTCTTCCCCACTGTGATTTTTTTTTTTTTCCATATTCATTAAATGCAGGCTTTTCCTGGGCATGTGCCACTGACCGCTGCAGTGCACAGTTCCTCCCTCCCTCCTTCACTAGCACAGCTTCCCTCATGGCAGTTTTGCAGGGCTAAGTTGCTTTAATTTTTTAGTATCCCTCTCTCTTTATAACCAGGGAGTTCTGGGAGTGTATTAGGGTTAGGAATGTCATCACCTGTGGAAAACAGCCCATCCTTCATACCCCATACCCAGGAGATGTGGCAGGAGGCCCTCCCAGGCTGGTTGTTGCTGGTGTTTATACTCCAGGGATACTGTTGGAAGGAAGGTGTGTGGGTACCAACAGTCAGTGTAATCTGGTTTAGGTCCTTAGAATTTGGACACTACCTGTGGTTCTCCCCAGAGATTATGCCTACGTGACCAGCTGAGAAGCAAATGCATCACGCCCCGCACACATACACACTTACCACCTCCTCCAAGTGCTCCCTGAGGGCAAACAGCCACAGAGCCTCAGGTTTCTCCCTTCAGCAGCTGCCACGTTGCTGCCCATCACACTCCCAACGCGCTGCAGCAGGCCAGGGATGCAAGAAGCAGCAGGGGTGCATGGCTGTCCTAAATTGCAAAGTTTCCCCTAGAACTCTTAGGATGGGAACTTCATTTGTTAATTTAAACTTGATAAAAGGCAAGTGTAAGCTGAGCTGTTTCCTCAAACCAACAGTTTACGTTGTGCTCCTTACCCAACTCTGTGTGCTGCACAGGCAGCTGCCAAGCAGCGCATCTGCCAGCTCAGGTGCAAAAACATGCACCTTGTTCCACCTTAATGCTGAGATATATCTTGTATAACAAACATACCTGCAGAAGAATTCTCATTAACCATTCTTCCTGTAACAGTAGGCTTTGTCCTGTGATGACTGCCCTTAGATTAAAGAAGTACAGATAATAAGAGTAAGAGAATATTACGGGTATTTGCTGGGCTTGTACTGGAGTATTCTTTTAGTTCAGTAGCACCTCCTCTCACAGTTCTTGAAAGCATATGTACAATTTAGCAGAAGCATTATGATGTAATTTAATTCAAGTGTTTCTGTGTTTTAAGCATTGAAATATAATTAAACTATTTACATGAAACCTAGTATGATTGTCTTTTTTTTTTTTCCCCCCTCATCATTTGCATTTTCCACAGAAAACTGCTGGAGTGTATCTGCAGTACCTGTTGGTAATTTGTTTGCAGTGAGTTCCCCTATTCTTTCAAAGACTGAAGTGTGAAAAACTTGGAAAACTCTGTGGGGGTCAAGGTTTAGTGCTCCACAGCACGTAAACTCAGAGCTCTTCAGGAAGTCTTGGTGCTTGCTGAAGGAGTTGGGAAGGCAGGAGCTTCCAGCCTAGCAGGTCCTAGGCATCCAGAGTGCAGAATGACAAGTTCCAACTTGTCTGTTTGCCGTATCTTTTAACCAGCTGAATTCCTGGATGAAGTAGGAGCTCATCAGTTCACCTGTTCACGATAGCCTGCCCGCACTGGGGTGAATGTTGGCAGCAGCATCAGTAGCTCCATGGTGATATTGGTGTATTTCAGATTTGCTTTCTGCCTCATCTTCTGGCCCACAGACCCCAAACTTGGGACTAGTTAGGAAAGCTGTCCGACTAACTGAAGGGGCTATGCACTGGAACAGAATTAACTGTACGGAAAGCTAAATAGTTGTATGGCACACAGAACAGTGTGGGGCATAAACACCCAGCTGTGGAGACTTCTGGATGTACACATGAAGCAGAATTGGCTTGTGTTCCAATTAAGCCAATGATGTACCCTTAAGATATACAAGAGAATGGAATTAGGTACCAACATTTGGGCTTAAAGGCCTGTGTTTTCCTCCATGTGAGATTCCTCACACTCATTCCTTATTGTCACATAGATCTGTGGGTGCTCCTGAATGACCAACTCTTATTTTATAATCCCCAAAACTCCAATTCAGATTAAGAGAAACTCACCCGGTCTGGTGATATGCATGTGTGCTGAGGTTGTTGCACATGGAGGAGGCAAAGCAGAAGTCTGAGGTGCTACATTTTATACCTTTATTAAAAACAAACTTCAAGGCTAATTTGCAAGTTGCGAACACTCTTTATGCCTTCACCAAAACCATTTATGAGATTCTTCCAAACTTTGCTAGATAACAAACTTCCTTCCTCTCCTGTGTTTTGATCCGACTGTAATGACCTCTTACTTTTCGTAAGTCAGGCCAAAACTGAGCTTAAAAACACTGGAAATGCATTTTCTTAGAGGTAGGATCTGGCTACAAGGAAAGATAACTAGCTATATGAGAAATAAAAAGCATTTATCATTTCAAAAAAGGAAATCCAAGTAATCCAGTATGAGGTCCTAGATCTCTGAAGATGTCTGGAATTCTGCCCATCTTTAATAGGCACTGACCTTCATTCCAAGTCTCTGCCTAAACATGGAAGCTGAAGCTATGGAATGGGATTTTGACTACACACAGAATAGTTCCTAACAGTGTGGAATTCTGCTTGTTCTCCTTGAGAACTTAGATTTTCATGGAGATATGTTTTCTACTGTGGCTTCACAATAGAGTATTAAGAGGTAGCAGACTAGAATCTTTTTTTAGACTAGAACTTTTTTTAGACTAGAACTTTTCAGACTAGCATTTTTTTTTTTTAAAGAGGAGTACTTTGTATGCATGCCCCAGAGGAATACTGCTGACCTAAAGCAAATGGATTTACTATCTAGCTGAGACAGTTTCCATCCCTACTCCATACCACCAGCTGAGAAAGGTCTGACTGATGTCATAAGAAAAGCTTGAGTGTCTTACAGATGCAATCCCTAATCCATTTAGGAGAAGCTGAAGTTCCAGTCTCACATGGTAACAGCAATTACTCTCAGGTAATAGGGGTTTATTAAACAGGAAGTACATACTAGAGGTGCCAATTCACCTGAAAATCCAGTAAAGAAGTTGGTAAAATATGCTGGTCTGCCCCTGGAGTGGCCTTTGAATGTAGACATGAACTGGAGCTGAACCTGTGTGTCCACTGGAGAAGAGCAGCTCCCTAACTTAAATTCAGAGGAACACCAGTTGGATCTTCTCATTGTAACCATCAGCAGTTACAGATCTGCATGCATGATGTCCCACCTGGATTTATCCACTGAACAGAAGGAGGTCAAAGTCTTCCCATACCTGTCAGCACGCCTCATCCTACAGCATAAGATTTAGGTCAGTCCCTGTGATCTAATCCATTTAATCCTTGATTTCTCTGCTACGTGGTAGAGGAGGCACAAAGGTTATCTGTGGTGCACTTTTCTGCCGAGACTACCAAACTCCATACACAAGAAACTACTGTTAGGGCAAACCAGACAACACACAGAACTAACAGGATCAGGACTCTGATCACTACGAAACTGGGCAGACTGGACAAAATGACCTAGATGGAATTTTTTTTCCTATTATCGCTCTCCAGTCAGCTCTTCCACTTAATTCAGCATACGTTTTCTTGTGTTAAATAAATACCTGCTAAGGAAACAGACCTCTGATGAAAGGATAACAAATAAGTTCAATATATACTGCTATTTCATGGGTTTCTGCTATGCACTGCCATAAATTCAAAGCCAATTATGATCTGTTTAAATATTTAATGCTGTAAAGCTAGCCAATTTCACATCTTGTCAAAAATAACTGAAATACCCACTTTGTCCCTTTAATAACAGGCAGAGCATCCATGAGATGGAAAATACCACTGGGATTTCACTGTTTATAACTGGATATTAGAAATACCCTCAATTCCTCAGAATTTAGCAAGATCAGCTCTGACACAGAAAGCACAAATCTGCATACGATGTGAGACTGAGAACAGCCAGCAACAATCTCAGACCAACTGCCTACTGCTGTCTCCCAAAACTAAACTGTATGAGCAAGCTTTTATTTGCATAGCTACAACACTAGAGGACCCCACATGCGCACATTATGGACTGAAGATATAATTAATTTAAATTGAATCCTGAGGCTCTGCAAGGAAGCAACTTTGGTGTAACTGGTTCTTTATAGACGCTCCTTTGAAGTGATGAAATCCAGTGGCTGTGACTAAGCTTGTAAACATGGTGTACTCAGAGTTGCTACCAAATTCAAGGTGAGCACAACCAGGCCAAAAGCTAGTTATAGGAGATGGCCCTGAGCTGATAATGCTAGGATAAAAGTTTCAGAATCAGTCCCCAATACATCAGGGTGCAAACTTTCCTCTAAAGCATCCAAGCATTGGAGCAACAGCATTAGGTAAGCTAAAAATGCCATGAAGGTTTCTCTTTCTGATACGGTAAAGAAAGGACTCAAAGACTGTCTTTCAGATGCAGTCCCTATGGGCAACTGAGCAAAACATAACTCTTGGGACTGCTCCATCAATCTGCCAGAGGTGGCGTGATAGGTAAGTTCATCAATTAGCTGTGTAAATAGGTTTCCTTTACTGTATCTGCATTACTGAGTCAACATTATCTTTCCATTGAACTATGGCTGTCTGTGGCAGGGCAAGGCACCATGTTATCCAAGTATTTTTAAGATTAATATCCTCACAAAAGATATACTATGAACTGTGAAAGGCATCTCTCCAACAAGGCATTTGCCATTTCTTCCACTGTTTGGATGTTTGGGGTAAGCCAGCAGACAACAGGAGAGAAAGCTTGGCCAAAATGATCACAAAGGAAGAATCTGAAATATGACATTAAAATTCCTGTTTGCTTTCCAGTCCTCTGGCTTCAGCAAGACATGAACAGGTGGCATACTACTGAGCAGTGGCAGGGATGTTACTCAGAGATCTCCTAAGACCAGTAGTTTTGCCAGGCCTGGAACCATCTTTTCCAGTGATGCCTAAAGGGAAAGATCATGGGAGAGAGAGGGTTAGAGCTCTGGGTCCAGGAGCCTAGCTGCCCAAATGCCCCGTTACAGAGTCAGTGCAAGGTTAAAAGGTGGCAAGGATCCATTCCCAAACGACCAAAGGTCTTCACAGCAACATTCCCATTGCTCTTGTACCAGCTCCAGGCTAAAGCCTGTCACTAATGCCTTCCCTGGCAGCAGGCCTCGGCATGAGGCTACTGAGAGCCCAGAAGTTATAGTCTGTGTGAAATTTCCTGCCTTCTGCTGTGCAAGCCCACATGACCAACCTCTGCTGTGAGCAGTTAGATGTATTTCCAACTGCCACCCTGCATCCTCATGAGACACAAAGTACCAGAAGTGCCTTACCCAATGTCATAAACATCAGGAAAGTAGAGGCACAGAAGGTCTGAAAATTGTCTCAGAGAGGCGAATGTTTCTGGCTACACAGGCTTGCTCTGACCTGTGGCTAACCCCTTGGTTTCAGGAAAGCTGAGGGCAGCAGAGGGAACAAAGTGAGACCAAGGAATTTGCAGCTGCTTTATCTCCCAATGTACTGAGAAGAACACAAGGAAGGAAAGACAGACAAAAAGGAGCAAGATCCCAAGGTTGCTTCTGGCTTTGGACTGAGTATTGGAAATTTTGCCATAAAGTGAACACTTTCCTTCCCACACCTATATTCCCTTAGCCAAGCAAGGTTACTGAAACAAACCAAGGCTGATTTTGTGGCTTAGGAGGCTTTGAAATCAGCTTCATCAGTCATTCAGTAGTGGTACTCATGGAAGAAAAGACAAATGCTTCTTGGCCCCAGAAAAGTTTAACAATTGACTTGTGGTTGGCGGCATCTGCACGTCGCAACACAGTAAGGCCTGAACTATTAACAAACCCTTGCCTGCTCCCAGATAACCTAGAGTCACCCATAACCAGTGCCTTGGGAAAACCAGAGCTAGATCCCCTGCTACAAAGGCCATGGAAAAACATCCACTAGCTTTAAAGCAGCTCTCTGCCCCATGGCAGGCTTGCAAGTTTTGCAAATTTCTAGTTTGGCTCTTCCTATTTCTTGATTCTCCCCATGACAGACTGGCTGAAAAGCAGGGGGTCAGTCATTGTTTAGTTCAGCAAATGTTGCAGACATGAATCCCAGGGCAGATCTCTTTCCCACTCAGAGCTGTACAGTGTACAACCTGCAGGATGAGCAAGCACACGTATCCTCCCATGCCCTCCCACTAGCACACAGCTCCAAAATCCTCACCTGAAAGGAAAAAGCAAACTAGCGAACACACAATGACCAAAATCTCTGGCTGTGCCTATAGCAGAAGATTATTATGTGATTGTAGACTCCTGCTAACAAATGTCAGAGCAGTAGCCTCCTGCACGAGTAGCACAAAAGCTTGCAGGCACATAATATCTAAATTAAACCCAGACCCATAGAATGGGTTCATCCAGAAACTACCTGTCTGAAAGCTGCTACAGCGCTATCTCACTTGCAAACAAGCCACAGGATCTATAGTTTCCATTAAGTCTCCTCTTTCCCTTTTTAGTCAGAAGTTTCTAAGGCAGGATTACCACTCCATCTCAAGCTCCTGAGCGAGTAACAACTGTTACAAAATTTTCCAGAGGACTGCCAGGTTTCATACCGAACATGCTTATCCCCGCTGACCTTCAGCTGGCTAGTTTTTTTTCTTACAGAAGCACACACCTTCCCCAGCAGTAAGACTCCCCTCTCCATCCCGGGTGCTAAGGGTGCGGACACAGAGCGGTTTGCGCTGCAGCACCCTGCGCTGCACCGCCGCCTCCCGCTGACCGCAGCATCCGCTTATCCTCTCACATCTGGTTCTACCTCATTGCGACAGGAGGGAAACATATTCCTCATGTCACTGCCCTCGGTCCCACTCAAACTGAAAGGAAGAAGAAAGTACCCACACCGGCTGCGGTTTTGGGCGATACTTAAGAGTCCTACAAAAAGGCAGCGACTGGGCCGGAGGTGAGCTCATCATCCGTGAGCCTGCGGCTCTGCTGATGTCATCGCACAACTCGGTGGCAGGAAGTGATACGGGAGCAGGAGCCTGAGAGGAAACTGAATCGAGCAACTGAGGTTAACTACTCCGGCATTTTATCATGTGGCATTTCCAGGGACCTTCTAAGAACCCGAGGTTGGGTTTGGCTGCCCAGCGTCAGTTAGCTTGCTTCGCACGCCACGCTCAACAGCGCTAACGGCAGCGGGATGAGGGAGCAGCTGTGCTGACCACATGGCAAAACAAAGCAACATCTGCCTCTCCTGGGTTGCTGGCCCCTTCCCCCTCTCACTCGCGGGAAATTATTTAATGAATAGCTTTCTATGATGCGCACGGAAGGTAGGACTTATCTGCACGCAAGTTTTCCTGGCATCTACCTCAGAAATGGCCTTGAAAGCATAGGCTGGACTTGGATCTGTACTTTCCCAGGGCTGTAGTGAGTTCGGGGCTCTGGGTGGTGCATCTGTAAATTCCTATGACACTGATAGCAGTTATCTGGCATCTTATCTCACAGAAGCTTAGATAACTCTGCAGACCTATAGAGAAACTTGCCAGTGCCGTCATTCTCTGTGCTGCTGATGCACTAGCATCTCTGCTAGCATGCCAGCCGCTCACAGAGAGCACTGCCTCAGGGTACAAGCCAGGAAGGAGAGAGCAAGGCTACCATGGAGGCATGCTGGAGTTAATCCAGAATATTAGGATGTCCCAAACATCAAGGGACTATTATTTTTTTTTTTTCCCCCAAGTAAGGCAAGACATACATGACAGACTATTTTTGCTTTCTACATAACACAGCCAGACAGTTTCACTGACCCACACCTGTAAGAGCGACCAGAATCTCAGATACATGACTTCTCAGAAATACAAAGATATAGGGTCTCCTGACATCCCTCTTTTCTGCCTCCGCTTCCACTGAAGTAGTCACAACTGAATCAGATGAAAGGAATGTGCTACCCCTCCTGCAGTAATGTGCCTGGAAGCCTTCCAAATTCACCTCTGGCTGTAGGATTTACCAGAATGATTGCAGCCAGTGCTAGAGCTTTGGGGGTACATGCATGGTTTGCCAGGAGCATGGCTACACAGTTTAGTCTTGTGTAATTATGATTATCTAATTTCAAACCTTGTGTGGCTGGCGCCAAGCTCAAGTTCAAGTCAGTGCTTGCCTGAGGATTTCCTCCCTGAGACACTCCTTCTTGGACCGCTGGTTGAGGCTACAAAGGAAAACACCAAAAACAAACAAAACCCCCCATGTAAAATTAGGTATCAAGAGACAGAATTGCAAATACACGAAGTAGGTGGAAAACAAAAAGCCTTTGATCAGTGTTCCTTAAATAAGACTGTGCAGCCCTGAAAGCATGCCCATTTGCCACCAGTTCTTATGTCCAACCATACCCAAGAGCATGTGCTAGTGCATGTAGTGTCCTCACACATTCCCAGGCATCTCGGAATGGCTGTCAGAAACCATAATAAGGCACCTTATTACCACTGTTACGAGACACATGGCCCCACACTTTGAAAAAATCTCCCCATTATGCAGCTGTGGAGAAATTTTTTCATCCTTGAGAACACTTTCTGTATTTCAGGATATTTTCCTGTCCTGAACAACTAAATATTTTGTCCACTGAAAATTAATAAACAAATCACTGTTCTTTTCCTTCTGCTTTGATTTTGCCCCCCAGAAAACTCCTCAGCTGTTAGACAAATTAATTTTGAACTGAAACAGCAGAATGCTTCACTAACCAAAGTTAGAATGACACATTTTGAAACATTAAAAAGAAAAAAAGGAAAAGGAGCCAGTCTGCAAAAAGCGTTAACTTCCATAAATCGGTATGTAGCAACGATTTTTTCACAAATTACCATGCAGCTTATTGTTTATAGTAACGAACACCCTAACTTACAGCTCTGGCACGCAACTCAGTTAAACCACAAAATCCCAAGCCTAACCCTAGAACTGCAGCTACTACAATCTGTTACAGAACAGAATGGCTGCAAGTGTCTTTTCTGACCTCATTTGCAGGCTATTATAGATGAGAGATGGCTATAAATTATTTCTAGTATGCTATAGATGTTTATAGACTGGGCAAATCCCTGAGCATCCTGATCCAATTAGACCTGCTCTGAGCAGTGGTTTGAACTAAATGATCTCTAGTGGGCCCATGCAACCTAAGTTATTCTATGATTCTAAGAAAATAAAAAGTGCAGGTACACACACAGCTGAGGGATAGCAAACATTCAATACCACTATTAGTAGATCCTGGGAGCTATCAGAATGCTCCGAACTGTTGTCTTGCTTCTTCCGTGTGGCATAAAGGTGCCAAGGGAGAATAAAGTGCCAACTGAATTTATAAGGAAGTGTTTTAACTGTATTATCATTACAGAAAAAAATAGGAATTTCCATGGAAAAATATTTTTGAAATTGCACTTCTACCAACAAAAAAAAGAGAACATAGGACAGGAAAACTATTCCAGCTAGCTTTATTTCAGACATTAGCTTTTGAACAACACACACATGGGTGTTTGTGCTCCACAAGATGTTGGGGAGCATGTTCTCAAAGCTGCCTGGCTGCCCCCATTTCCTTTTCCACTGACCGGGGGGGAAGGGGGACGGTTCTCTCTGTGGCAGTGTCAGGCACACAGAATAGTCACAAAGCAGGGCTGAAGCCACCTCCTCTATTGCTATTACTGTCAGTTTAACCACAAGACACCCCTACTAGCAGGTGTTTTATAAACTGTCCCTTGCTCTGAAACCCTCCCTTGGATTTGTCCTCCATAGGCTCCTCAGCTCTGTATAGTCTGTACTTCACATATTTTCTGGCTTTCCTGAACCCTGCAATAACAGAGTTTCACAGCCAAGGCTTTTCTGCCCCAGTTCTGACTGCATTACGGGACCGAATCTATTCCTCCCACATAATTCCATTGCCTGCTCTTTCCCTTCCTAGGCAGGAAGCAGAAAGGCACCGTAGCATCCTGAGGGTTATTTCAGATTAGATGAAGAACTCTTAACCAATGCCAGAAACTGCCTGCCAGGTCCCCTGGAGTCCTTTGGCCTCTGCATTTGCATTTACCCACGGTGGTTTATGGCTACACATACAGGACGTGTCTGTTTGTGCCACTGTCCAAGACAAGGTAGTAGCTGAGGCCTCCTTCCCCCTCTTTTCAATCTCTGCCTCCCCTTGCGCTCGGCCAGGTCAGATTGCACCTGCTGATGAATATCCCTCTTACACCATCTCAAATTCAGCAATATCCAGTATGCTTCAACGCTACCTGCAAAGCGCTGCTGCCTTTCACTGCTCCCAAGGAAGGGCTGTCCCACCCTGCAGACGCAGCCCTCATGCAACCATCTGGATGCCAGTCCCCAGCCCTGCTTTCCCCCGGTGAGAGTATGCCATGGGATGCTGCTCTATTCTCACCAGTGCTTCTTTTTAGCACAAATACTCCTCTCTTAGCTATTGCTTTCTAGCTGGGCTGCAACTTCAGAGTAACTTCTAAGGGTCAGCTTCTGAGCTTCCCAAAACTTCCATCTGTTTGCCTTCAGGGTCTATCTGAAATTCTGTTGCAAAGCAATCTGTAAATTATCAGAGTTCAAACAGTTTCAACCACATCTGAAGAGTACGGAGAACCCTGCAATCACGATCCTTCGGGGAACATCTATACTATCTCTCACTTTATTTTTATGAAGTTATCTCTGATCCATGTCACCTGGGGAGTCAGAGGTATGTCTTCTGGCTGTACTGGTCCCTCCCTGTCCCCAGCCCTACTTCAGGCTGATGCTGTGTCTCACATTTACCTGTATTACCCTGGCATTTTCAGCCCAGCTCAGCAACATTCAGCTCTGTTTTCTATCAGCAGATAACAATGCCTCCTTTCTCACAGTCCCTTTTGTCCTGGATGCTGCTTATACAGGACTGTTCTTCATCTGGTCCAGGGAACAATCTATGTATCCCTGCTTACAGAGTCTTTGGGCAGGAAAAATAACGTTCCCCACAGAATTTGAGCTTGTTCTGATCCACTCTTTCCTTGAAAGGAAATCAAGACCTAGGAGTGGCTGTGCCTCCTTATCCCTTTCTGATATGTCTCCAGTGCATATGGCTCTAGCATACATCTCTCTGAACTATACATGTTCAAGTCATTTTTCTTGCTTGATTGCATCTAATTCATAAAAGACTATCTTCTCTCCTAATTTGCTGAGGTTTTGTATTTTTTCCCCTCACCTCATTTCTTCTTCTCTCTAACAAACAAAGACAACCTCCAAAAAAAGTAATCTTTTTTTTTTTTTTTTAATTATTATTTTTCTACTTTGCAGCCCAGAGATGTTTCTTTTTCCCCCAAATGCACTTTGGGCTCTTCACAACAACCTGGCCATTGCATTCTACCACTACTGAAAGGGAGAACACTGTCTTTTATTCATGTCCTTCTAGGTCCTCCTGCTTCTCTTTGAGATTTGTCAGTGCACGAATGACACCAGCAGAACTCACTGGGTAAGATGTTTTGGTCCCTAGGACACAGCCATTTCTACCTCCAATGCTTTTCCATAGAGCTTGAGGATCCCAATTTACAGAGCTGGTTGCTTTAATCACTGGTAACATACCAGATTTCCTTACACAGTGTATTTAAATAGCATAATATAAATGGGCTTAGAAAAAGCAATGGGCTTTTGGCAAAAGCTATGTGCTGAACTAGACTGTGACCTTCTTATGTGGATTTCAAAGAAGAAACAGCAATTGAACAGATTTATGGAGTAGATCTCTTGTTTGAGAGATTCAGTTCTGTGCTGGGTTTGCAGACAGTTTCTCTCCACCACTGTCCAAACCTTATTTGCACGCCAAGGTCACTGTCATGTCAGAAAAGTCTCCTAATCTCTCCCACATCATGGCTCTTCCCCCCTGGTAAAAATTTCCTTCCATGCCTCCTGCGTAGCCCTCACGGACTGCTCTATTCCTCTGTTTCTGTTGAGCCAGCCAGTATCTCTTTCCACTCTAAGCACTCCTGTGGCACCGCAGCCATAGAACAAACCTATGGATTCCTACAGGAAGTGCACAGCTTGAGTCTGGTCTAGAATTTTTTTGTGATAACAGATACACACCAAATAATGGTTTGTGGTTGTTGTGGGGTTTTTAAATCACTTCTAATGATGCCATTTATTTTTCACAGGACTGCATAAAAAGCTTTCATCTTTTTCTTCCACACCTGAAATGTTCTTTCCTCATCTACTGATTCTTACTAATCCTTTGTTTGCTGCATACAAGAGCCTCCTGCTGGCAGGATTCAAATTTTTGTCATCACCAAATTTCTCTTTTTGCTTATTTTAAGTTTCCTCTTTTGAGACAAACTGACATGCTAAGCAATCACTTCAGTCTTTCAAGACTCCTGGGAAGACAACGTCTCTGCCTGAGAAAGGATAGAATCTCTGGTCTGATATTCCAAGCCTGGGACAGTACTGTGGAAGACTAATATGTCTTGAATTAAGTACAGCAGCTCCCCCAGGCTCTCACAGTTCTTCAGGAGCTGAATCTTAGGGGTGACTGGAAAGGCAGGCAGCTTCTGTAACGTTAGATTTCCAGACCACCTAGGCTGAAAGAATGTCGCCGCAGATAGAGAGCCTGAGAAGAACACACGCAACTGAAAATCCTCCAGGATCAGTGACTGGAGAAGAGGAAAAGGACTACACACTGTACTCACCCACTTGCGGGGCCTCCCTCTCGGCCTTTTACCAGCAGAAGGTTCTACCTTTATTGAAAATAAAGGGAAAAAAAATATTTTCAGCTCTCATATTTGCTGGGCACTGTGACTAATACACTGAACCTGGCCAATATGATTTCGGTATAAAGTTCTTGTGAGACAAGTAGCAGAAAAGGCAAAAGCTGGGGATAGAAGACAGTTGAGGAGGAAACACCTGCCAGACTATGCTGGTTGTGATTATTTGGCAATGGTGGAAGAGAAACACTAAAAGGAAGCTGCTGAACAGGCAGTGGCAACACAGGAAGGCTGGGAGGCAAGTTAGGACTAAACCCACAATAACTGGTTTGTCCAGCAGTACCAATTAAAGCTGAGCTGAATTAGGGGCAACTTTCACTGTTAACCTTTAAGCTAAGAGAAACCTCCCTGCTTGTCCCTCTAGCAATGCTTCAAGCAGGCACAGCCAGCTTCTCTCTCTCCCATAAAAGAATATAAGCCATTTACTCTTACAATTTCTCCAGATACAGTAGTCACTTTCTTGCTTCCTTTTGGCCTTCCTCGTGGTTTCTTCACTGGCAATGGTCCCACAGCCTTCTCCTGGGATACAAGCGGAAAATCTTTTAAGCAGGATGATCCTGGGAACAACTTATAGCTTCTCATTCTAATGTGTCTTAGACTGTCTTACACCAATAATAGCACCCAGACCACTAAATACCTGTTTCTCTGCTTCTCCATCTGTGAAGTACATCAGAAAATGGCCAGCAACCTACCCCTTTGTCTTTTGGCCTGGGGAAACGAATACATTCCCAGGACTCTGACCATACTGCCTGGAGTGCAGAGAGAAAAGGCCTTGGCCTTATCCGCTCTAAGTACTAGTGCAGAAACAGACTGATGACACCTGAAAGTCTTCAGACTGGAACAGATCTGGGTAGCCATTTCCTGTCCTGAACAGTCATGGCCTGCCACAGGAGAGGCATCTTTGAAGCCAGTGGCTGAGATGCCCCAGGGTGCACATACTGCTGCTTTCCTGGAAAGCAGTAATATTTACCACAGAAAACCTCAGCCTCCCTTGCTCTTTGTTAGCGAGCCACATCCCAGGGCTGCCTGCACATCCTATCAGGCTAATGCCATAGCATCCTCAGGTAGCTTCTTGGGATGACGTGCCCTCACCTGTGGCTGCTTTTTTGGTCTTCCCCTCTTTCTCTTCAGGCCCTCGATCAGTGTAGATGAGCCAGGACTCACTGGCCTCTCGTTGCTCACGTTGACACTTTCCATAGTTTCCAGATGATAATCCAACAGGTTATTTTTCCATGGACTGGGAAAGAAAACTTGTCTCCTCTTTCTTTCCCTATCTTGTTACGATTCTCCTCTACCTGCAAGGCTGAAGTGGTGAGAGAGAATCAGGCATGACAGCTTGCTATTATCAGCTGGAAGAGTCCGGGATGCATCAGACATTTAGAAGCATAACCGTGTTTTATAAACATTATTGAACCATTCTCTCCCAAGGCCCACTCCTCAGCTTTCTGAGGCTTTTGGCCAAAGGAGCTGACTGCTCCAGGTACCAGAGCACGTTGTACCTGCATCTACCTTTCCCCCTCTGTTGGCCAGTTTCATCCAAACTGACAAAGACATTGCCTTCAGCTCTCAACTCCCCTCTTTGTAGGCTCCTTGTGCCCAAGGAGAAAAGGAGACAAAGTGGTGGTGGTGAGTTATAAACGTCCATTCAAGGGTAAAGCTTCATCTGGAGCTCCTATATCATCAGATACCAAAGCTAATCCTGAGATGTGGCAAAGGAAGCTTTATATCAGGATGCTTGAGAGAGCAAGTATCAGGGTACAAACTCTTTAAGGGGTGAATGTGGCTCTGGAGCTGCCCCTCAAGAGTTTGTTCCTAATCACTGACTAACAGGCACTGTCTGGAGAGATGGCCTGATCCTATTTCAGAGTGCTCAGCCTCTGGTCCTGCACAAGGCTCAGTTTCCTACAGGACAGAAGTCACCCAGATCTGGGTTTTGCTTGGATCCTGAGCACTGGTTTGTCTACTGCAAGTGTTGTATCAGCAGGCTTCTGAGTCAGCCTCCTCCCTGTCCCTAAGCTCTACTTAGTGCCAGCTGTGGTTGGAATGAGCCCTGGTCTGACTTGTTTGCTCTAAGATATAACCAAGATCAGGAGCTGTTGGGGCTACATAGGAAATCAATGACTTTCCTTGCTTCTGCTTGAGGTTTCTCCTCTGGCGTTGTCTGCCAGAGAAGGTGGCAGTCTGACAGGGAGCCTTTACACCCTCACATGCCGAAGCAGGAAAAGGAGGGAAGAGACCTTGACCAGAAGCTCAGCTGGCACCTGACTCCCAGGCACATTAAGAGAGGTGGGAGTCATTGGTCTTGCTTGCGTGTGGGGGAAACCTTAGCCAAGGGTCTGGGTTCAGCTCCCAGTTTGCCAATCTGCTTGAAAAAGGCACTTGCAGCCTCCCCAGACCTTGGTCCTCCTTCTTGCGCAGGAAAGAGGGCTCAAGAAGATGAGAGGGGCTGAGGAGATGGGGCCTGGCTGGACAGAGGCCAGCAGCGCTGGCTGAATCCTCTTTTCACAGTAATTCTTACCATAAAATAAATAACTGAGGATAGTGTGGTTGGGAAAGCATTATCACTGCTTGCTTAGGAAAGGAGGAGTACGTAGCTGAACAATGCATTTTCACTTCTGTGCAAAGCCATCGCTGCCTTCTCATCTAGATGCTGCAGGTGTAATCTGCCTTGCCTGTAGAAGCTCTTCTACCTCCACCTGAGAAATGTTTTTTTTTGCAGCTCTCCGCTCTACCTGTTTTGTTTCTACTTTCTCACTTGTTAAATGAAAGGTAACAACAGCATGCTTACACAGCACTTTGTCCCATCAGCCTTGAGTGCTGCTGAGTCCTTAAGTCCCTTCATCAGGCTCTACTTGAGGCAATAAAGGCAGGATTGCAAGTAAGAGCACAGCTGCACCACGTAGAAGAGTGTGACTGTTTTCTTCAAAATAATGCTGGAGGGCCGAACCTGGGTTCAGCTGCAGTTCACACACAAGCAACCCTACCTAGTGAACTCCCTGGATGTCCTTTTGTGCACACTGCTGGGACCCAGCTCACAGGTGCTGCTGCACACTCAACTTTTCTATCAAAACCTCTACTCAGAGGGCGATGGAAAAACCATAGCTCAGGTCTCTTGGGTTCAGGCTGCATCTGGAGGGGAGACAGTTAGAAAAAAAAGGTTTCTTTGTACTTGCAAGCCACACACAGTTGCCATCAAGTCCCTGAGAGACAAGCATGAAACATATTTACAGTCTCTTTCAGAGAAGAGCTGTGCTTTTAGAAACTGTTAGCAGGGCTTTGTAGTTTGATCAGATGTTCAAGTTCCAAAGATGAGAGGGCCTTAACTGAAGATGACAACAAATATTCTGCCCTCTGGTCCAACTACCATTTCCTGCGTCTGCATTTACTGGTCAAAACTGGGGCTCAAACAGCCTTGTGCTGGTCCTGGCATTTGGAGCTGGCTGAGGCAGGAGGGAGTCACTGTGGTACGTGGAACCTGGACTGCCCTAGGAGCAGAGAGGCCTTAGTGCCTCTTCCCAAAGGCAGGTCTAAGCCAGCCCTGGCTCATGCTGCACACATCTGCTGCTGGATCAGCCCAGAGTGCTGCAAAGGTGGCTTGAAGCCTCCTGAGACTGAGCCTCCCCTCAGCTGCCTGTGGAAAGGGAACAGACAAGTGTGAAAGTGCTGCCCAAGCCACGTTCCTGAGAAGAGATTAAGGCTGCTTTGACAACCCAGCTCCTACCTATGGCTCACTGTGATTTGAAAGCACTGGTTCAGTGCCTCATGGAATTCAGGTCCTAGTGCAAACATGTGGAAAAGAGTTATGGAGGAAATACAAACATGTCCTTGGAAAGTATCACAGGTGCATGTTTTTCCCTGTTTTTCCATGGTAATACCGAAGCGTAACAGGATGAATGATGGGGTATGGCAGGTATTGTCAAAGATAATAACAGATGTAGTTATATCTGGGGGAGGCTGTGCTGATAGGAGGGCAGAATTAAGTATTTGTATTTTATTTTTCAGTCTTGGATTGCACTGTCTGCTTGGTCACCTCAGGCTAGACATGCAGAATCTGAAAATGTCACTGGCAGATGCAGCAAGAAAACTTCCAGCCTTCACTCCATATTCTAACAAAATGTATGCACTCATGACAGACACTGAAGCCATTGCTCTTATTGACACAACCTCTCTCATGAGTTCACTGTAATTGAAACCTTCATTAAATCCAAGTTTTGCCTGTCATTATTCAAGTGGGAGCAACCACAGTGTACAGAATTCTTTTTTTCCCCAGATGCAAAGAAAGTCAGTTCTTGCACAATGATTGTTTTCTAAATCTTGATAGACTGGTACACTCCACAATGTCTTTCATATATCTGGCAAGCTTTCTACAGATGGGACTGCAAATAAACGCACAGAGACCACCAGGAGATAGCAGTGTCTTTGTACATCTCTCTCTAACTTCCCACCACCCGCCAAAGGCACATGCTTCTCAAAGCCTGGTGTGAAAAGAAAAAAATACAAGCAAAGCTATACAAGCATCAGTCCTTAGAGCTTTTGTAAGCTTTATATGACTCAATGTAAGATGCATACAAAGCAAAAGCACCCACTGCAATTCTACTTCAAATTTCTGAACAATAGCTTTCCATTTATATATATAAAAGCCCAAACCAATATTGACTCCCACCACATAACAAAAAACAAGTATGCTTTCCAGGGTCACTGCAGTCCCTGCTGGGAGTGGAACCAGTAGGGCTGAATTCCAGTCCTATACACTGTCCACAAAGGCACAAGAGCTAAAAAACCTATCCAAATGCTTGTGGCCCTTAGATCACCTTTATGTCAGCCACATACACAGCTTTGCAAATGATGCAGACATGCGAATACATGGTTTTGGCAGTATTCAGGACTCTATGTTGCAGAGACATCACCTAACTCAAAGTACCTCATGTCCCAAAAGCACCATGTCCCAGGCACCTGGCAGAGGACAGGGAATTCTCACAGTCTAATGCTTTGCACCTGATTTAGGTGCTAAGTTGTACAAAGCCAATTTTTCTACCCTTCTCAGGAAATTCTCAAGAAAGAAAAGCTTCTCCTAGGTGCAATGTCGTTGCGGTCTAACACAGGGTGTTGAATAGTGTTCTTGAGGGACTTTTCCCTTTCCACAGACTACAGAGGAAGCCTCGGGGAAGAGCCTGCTGACTTGGGCAGGTAAATTAAATGACAGAACCTCTTCCTCTTTGTTTCCTCAGGGAGGTTAAATTTTAGGCTATGTCCTTGGGAGAAATACATTATGATACAGGGATGCTTGAGACATCATACTAAAACCTCAAACTGTGTGCATGATTCACAGCAAATGCTGCCAGAAAATGATTGTCTAGCTGCAGTGCCCACATACAAAATACAACGCTCACAAAGCCTTTTTCAAAGCATAATAGGAGTGTGATTATAAGAGACCCTTCATTATAGCCTTAACTCTGCCACTGTCTCTATAATAATAGGAAAAAAATATCCACAAAGCACAACTCCCACTTCGTAGCACAGCACCATTGTTCTGTTGTCACATGTGACAAAGTAAACCCAGGGTAACTTCACCAATGTGAACACGGTCACTCTTCAGTCCCTCTAGTAAAAGAGGGAGGGAAGAATTTGGCCCAAGCCCTTGTATCAAGCAGAGGAGATTAAAAGACTTTGTTAGTCAAAACATCTAAAGAAGAGAACTAAGGTGGCCAGGCAGAGAGAAACCTTTCATTCCAATAACTGTAGCAATAACGATCTGCACTCGTATTATGAGAAATAACTTTCACCTTCCGAGAAATCAAATGCTCAGGTCTTTTCAGATCTCATTGCAGATCAAAAAATACCACAGCTTGTTGCGGTTCCCCATAGACTGTTCTACCAGAAAAGCAGGATAGTCAAGCGCTGGAATATCTCCCTTAGGAAAGAGCAGTGGTAGTAACACTCTGGCAAATGCACCTTTTCTGCCAGATTTTTCTGTCCAGTGAGGAACTTATGGACTACTAAATCAAGCTTATGGCAACAGCAGGTAACTGCCACAGTCTCATAAATCACATCTCAAAAACATAAATAACCTCTCTAGGTGATTTTGTAACTACTTTGAGTGACTAAGTCTAAGACTTCTTTGGTCTCATGTTTAAAAGTCTCCTAGTTCCTTGCCTAGTTTTTTTTTTTTTTTTTTCTTGGTTTGGTTTTGTTTGTTTGTTTGTTTGTTTGTTTGTTTTAAATGAGTAATTTATTGTCATTTGTTCTTCCATCACCAGAATCCTTCAGCAGCAACATTCCCCTCTCCATTTTTCTGATCTCCCCCATCTTGCCTGGCTGAACAAGCCAGTCTGTTCCAGTTTCTTGAGATGTGATCATATCTCCTGATCATTCTGGTTGTCATTTACACCCTTCCCAACCTGAGATGAACACTTCTGAATGTAATAAAGATTCTTACTCTCAAAACTATTTTCAGTGAGGACAGCTTGACTAACTTAACCTCTCACTTATCTGAGAAGCATGGGCTGAGCAACAGTTTAGTGGGAAAAAATCAGTTTGTGTGTAATATTAATATCATGAGCTTCCAAATGGATTCAACCAGCAAGTTATTCCACCACTTCTCGCATATCCTGACTGATAAAATATCCAGTTCAAAAGACCGAAACTGTTTAAGCTTACAGGGGACAAAAAATACAGGAACTTTATGGGCTTCCATGCTTCACATCAGTGCCAGGGACCAGCTCATGGCCTGAATGGGAACTTCTGTAGCTCTATCTAGAGAGTTACATTTCTGACTTTGCTATAGATTTCTCTATGTAACCCTAACGAAAGTGCCTTCATGTGTTTCAGTTCCCCATCCACAAAATGGTGCATAGTTCCCTGATTGCTGAGCTATGCTGGTGGGGTTGCTGAAGTGGAAGAAGCCGAGTGAGGCAGTAAGAAGCCATCCTGTCTGTGCCTGTTCTTCTGAGACAGCCAGCAAGGTAGGCAGGTGCTACCAGCCAGGATAGGAGCTCCTGGGCTAAAGACCTATATAGTAGGAAACAGACAGTGCCAGAAGGTTTTTGTACATTAGAGACATGCACAGCTACATGGGAAAAGGGTGGCTGATTACTAGGTTTCAAGCAATGATGCGTACATGAACAGTCTGTTTCCTATTTCCCAGATCCTGAGCACCCAGCTTCAGCACGTCATCGATCCACTGCATGAGCACTCTCTCGCATGAACCTACGCTTGATGCAGTGCCTGCCAACTTAGTTCTCTCTCTGTTCAGATACCTGAGCCAGTTACTACTCTGAGAGGCACCTTGCTCATCCCAACCCACACCACAACTAACCACAGAAATACCACTATGGCTCTCCTGTAGCTAGCCTAAAATATTCCTGTTCCTTCCTCAGAAAAATGAGGCTTTGAACTTGCCTGTGGAATGGGTCAGGCCATGTGTGGAGTCCTGGCTGCACCGAGGTCCTTCGTTTCTGCATACACAGGACTTTCCCTGGAGGTTGCCACAGTGGAGGGCTCAACCTCAATCCTACTTAGCGACATCAGCTTCCAAGCCCTGCCAAGGCCACAGGCTTCTTATGGCCAGAGTAGGCAAAGCAAGGAGGCAGTCAACCATCCCAGGGAAGATGTGGAAAAGCACTGCCGGATATCAAGGCCAGAAAGAAAGAGAGATCCGGCATTTTTGCCTGACTGATCTTGGGAAAATCATGTAATCTTTCTGCGCTTCACATTTTCTGTCTACAAGATTATGGAATAATACTAGAAGTATTAACACTTGCCCTCAATCTGGGGTGGAAGGATTGAGGATTAAACCATTCCTATTTGTAGAGTAACACAAAGAACCCCCCCAGCAGAAGAGAATAGAGCAAGGCATTATTAGCAGACCGCACCAGCAGCCTCGCCCATGCCATTGCTTCAGGAGTACAAAGGAGAGGCTGTTGCAACTGAAAAAATACAGCCCAGGATTAGCCACATCCTGCTGAGCAGCAAAACACACCGTCACCCTCTTCCCCCAGGCAGCTGAAGGCTCATGGGACCAATTTGGCCCAAAGCTGTAAACTGGAGTTCCCTGCCCTGGGAACTTGGCACAGAGCAGCACTGGAGTGTGAGTGAGGGTTCTCCAGAGCTACCGCGTGCTGCTGAACTGCACAGCACCTCGCACCCGCTCCCAGACCAGAGCAGGTAGGGGATACAGCGCCCCGCTCATTGTCTCTATCCAAGGAAACTCATGTACCAATCTCAGGACCCCAAGTCTCAAGGCCACTGCCTGAGGTCTTAGACACCTTTGCAGCACTTCTCCCAGAAGCATCAAGCCAGATCAGTGACACTAATGCCTCTGTGCAGATTGCAGACTCCCTAGCATTACACATTAAGAGCCTGTTAAAATTCTCCCTTAGGGATTTGCCCAAAGACTCAAATGTTTGCTAAAGGGCTCTTTCTTCTCTTAAAGTCTCCGTCCAGACACTTTCACCAAAAAGCAAGCTCCCCAAGCACTGCAGAGTTAGATCAGTGGAGAAAAAACAACAGTATTTACGGGGAAATAAAAGGATAAGGTGAAATCTGTGGTCACCAAAACAAAATAAAAAAAAAAATCACAGTCATCTCTAACTTCAGATAGCGTCAAGCCTCGCTCCTCTTCAGAATCACTATCTTGTTCAACCCAAGTACTGATATTTGCAAAACAGTGTCCACTTGTGCAAAACCAGGAAATGGCCCTCCGTGTTTCCTGGTGAGGAGAGGCGTTTTGGCACCTGGCATGGGGACATACAAGGCAGCAAGTTTTGTGCCTTAACCTACTCCATTACCGAGATGCAATTTATTAATCCCTGTGCCTTAATAAACCTCAGCATCTTGCAGATGAGCTCTGCCTACGCATTTCAAATGCAGGCTTGCTAATGCGGTAAGAAAGGAACAAGATTACCTGTTGAGAAGTTGGGCAGCGCCACTTGACCCGACCCCAGCAGACCTAGCACTGAAGGCAGGAGAGAAAGACAGAGGTATCCAGCAGCTGACACCCCTTCTGCACTGGAGAGAAGCGGCTAAGCGAAGTCTCTGCACACACTCATTTCAAGAGCCTTACAATGAGCCGAACGTTATTTATTGCGCTCCCAGTTAGCGATATGGAAAGCAGCATGAGCACTGCCAGCGATCTCCTTCTGATGGCAGTCCTGAGTAGTGACAGCAAGTGAAACCCAGTTCACTCCAACCCGCCTGGAATATCACAGTAAACTGGCAACAACCAAAAAGAAGAAAACCCCCCAACCAGACCACTTATGCCAGGCAGCTTGTACCACTGCCCTGCTTACTAAAAATAAGGCCAGTTTCCAAATGTGAAATGACTCATCTGAATAAAGGGGACAGATCATTTCATGGACTTACCTCTTTACAAATGCTAGAAAGAATCATGCTGACCCTGTTTTATGAAAGGAAAACCAAACCAAAACAAAAAAACCCAGATGGGTAGCCCCAGGAAGGCTTGTGATGACAAAGTGGTTATTAATCTGAGTGCAAAATGCGCTCGGGGCATTTACTATAAGCCACAAATGAAAATGGGAAGCTGACTTCAGCTGAGCATAAACGTATTTAGAAAGAAGATGTTGCATGGCTCTAAGTTAGGTATTCTATTTTAATTATGTGAACAACCATTAGAGCTGGCAAAAGTCCCCAGAAGTATTTTGCAAAGGAGAAAGCAGACTTTTCATATGACTGACGTGGTATATTTAAGACACATTTGGGTTTTTTTTTTGGCGCATCACCATTAGGAAAACCAGAGAATTAAAAATATCTCAATCTGTACCTGTATAAAACCCATTACAGTACCTTAGAGACAACGTCTGAGACTCTTCTTTATGTCAAGTAGTAAATTGCTTACAGTGACAGTACAATTGAATAAACTGAAGACTTTTTTTTTTTTTTTCTCAGAGCTGTCCATGTAAAAGATTTGCAATCACTTGAGTTCCTCAGTAATTTCTGAAAATGTCAGTAAGGCACCTAAATCACTTACTGCAGTCTGGAAAATATCAATCTTGACCTTAATAACATGGGAATGATGATCTCCTGGTTAAAGGTGTACATGGGGGCTCTGGAAATGTGCCCAGCTCTTGAGGCTGCCATGTGCTTCCCCTGTGACCTCAGGAAAGTCACCTTTTCTTTGGACTCAGTTTCCCACATGTAAAGTGGGGACAACACAAAACAGGTAACATCTGGCTTACTTCGAAAATATTTTCTTCGCGAAGAGATACATTCCCCACCATGTAATTATACAGGTCTTAGGCAAAGTGGCTCAAGGCCTTATTTGGAACTCCTAACTATTAATAAAACAAAAGCAACATGAGAAGTTAAGAAGAGCCTTTGATCACCGCTGCAACAATGTCTAATCCAAAAATCACAAAATAGTGTATGAATTCAAGTACCTGAAAAGTATTATGTTTAAGTATTTAGATTAATAGATATCTAGCTAATCTATCAAAAAATCCTCCCGCATACACACCAGTGTATCATATGCAAATACACACACTTTTTTCATTCTTTAATGAAAACTATTTAATATTATTTTTTTGAGTATCACTAGATACAAAGTTGTATGCATGCTGTACAACCACCGTGTAATCATAATTACTAGGTCAGAACTTGAATTGTTATGTTTTGTATGAAGTGAAGAAATATGCATTTTATACCAATACTTCCTAGCAAGGAAGTATTAAACTTGATTCTACAGCATCAAACCAGAGATGGTTGACTGTCCACAAATGCTAAAGAACATTATTAATATTGCAGAAATTAAACTTCTGGTTAGGAAATGTCAGATATAAAATTGGCACGTGGAGTCCTATTTAACCTTTATTGGGCATATATTGGAGGATAGTGTCTTCAATTTAATATCTGCACTTCATAATTTCATTAGCATTTTAAGGCCAAGAGAAATTATTTGATCATTCTCTATATAAATGATTGTAATTTCATCATTATCCTTGGACTGAGCCCAAACCTTCTATACTTGACTGAAGCATTGGACCCAGAAAATCATGTATTTTTGATTTAAAGACATCATGGGATGGAGAATGTACCACTACCCTTGGACATGTGTTCCAGTGGTTAATCCCCTTTAAAAAAGGTGCCTAATTTACAATTTGATTTATGTGCTTTCAGATTGCAGCTGCTGGTTCTTATTGTACTTTTCTCAGATAAACACCCAGTCTACCTATTCCTTACCTCCTCTGCTCAGCAATACTTCTACACTGTAATCAAGTCCACTCGCACTATTCTTGTAAAAAATTAAATAGACTGAGCTCCTTAAGTCTCACACTGTAAGGCTTAAAAAATAAATAAATAATGTTTGTGCCCTTCTCCTCATACTCAACCATTAATACCTTTTAGGAAGAGGGGCACCAAACCAGCATGCCCTACTTCAGTAGCCGCCTTGACCCCCATTAAACCAGAGGAAAAATTAATACCTCCTTTCCACTCCTGTGGTTTAACAGCCATGGATCATAGGAGCCCTTTAAGAACACAAAACGATTTTGTCTATAGCATTCCCATTCATCTCACAAGCTGTCCCTTCCATCCAGTAGACATTGCAGTTTCTTCCTCCTCTTTTGGCCAGTTCTTTACTGCTCTGTGCAACACTTTTCAGAAGGTAAAATCACCTGTTCCCCTCTGGACTTTACAATGGCATTCCTTATCACACCATTTAATTGCTTTACAAACATGAATGAACCAATGTGTCCATTGCTACTCTATGGTGTGATAGTAGCTGTGTATTCTGTGAGGAAGGGGCATTAAGATCTGTATGGTAGATACCACCATCTAGGTAAAATGTTGCCAGCAAAACTAGTTTTACCCTGTGCTGATTCCATCCAGCCATGTACGTGAGGACACCATCAAAGCTTCCCTTTTGGCAGCCTGGTAGATCTGGTTCCTGTTCCCTCTGCCCCTGCATTCAAATCTCTGGATTTCTTCCCCTGGGCAGCCTCACTGCCAAGAGGTGAGCTCTGAAGGACAAAGACTTGAGCCGCCTGTTTTCAGTATACGTCAGAGCAGCAGAGTGTTGTGCTAAACAGAGACCTGGCTCTCAGGTGCAGAACAGGACTGCCCTGACATTGCCCATCCTGCTTCTGTCCCCAGAGCACCTTGGAAAAGCCACTAAGGAGTTTCTGGGCGAGGGCTGAAGCCTGTTTACGATTGCACCTTCTGATGGAATTTCTCTTTTGGAGGTCCCATGAACAAGCATGAGCTGGACCAATCAGCACAAAACCAGCAGCAGCCAAATCTGGAGGACAGGAGCCCTTCAAATTCCCTCTCCTTAGATGGGGGTGTGAGGGAGTCAAATTAGCAAGGCTTCTACTCAAGTGATTTGCTAAGATATTTATGTCCTGAGTGGGTTTTGTGTGTTTGCAGCGAGACTCGCCCTACACAAGGGCTAGCTTGTGCCTGCAAGATAGTTACTAGTTTCCTTTAGGAAGCATCCAGATTTTGCCACAATGCAGTGTAAGTCTCTGCCTGTATTCCTATTCCTTATCTTCACTCTTCCAGAAACTAGACTGGTCACTGTGGTATAGCGCGATATACGCAGGCTAACACCAACTGTAGATTCATTTGTGTATAATCCCTTTCTGTTGGACAGGTGTATATAAAGAGCTTCATTCACTGCTATCCTGATCTTGTCAGAACCTCTCATGTGCCCAAACCTGTATCTCATAAGTGTAATGAAAGCTAGTTTCGTAGTAATTGTTCTATGCATGCTTATTATTCAGGCTGCATTAATGAATATTTTAACTGAAGATTAGGCCGAGGTGTGATTTCAACAGGATAAGAAATAAATTTGCCATGCTCTATCTTATCATTGTAATGGAAGTGTACCCCATAATATTATATTTCTTAATTCTTTCCCACTACGCTCACCAATTCGAACTCTCTGGATGATGCAGGGTTACAAAATCTCACTTTAAGAAAGTTGTGGACTTGCTGGAAGGCCTCCAAAAAATCAGAGGCTTATTAAACATGGCCTGTGAGGAAAGATTGAGGAGCCGGGTTGTTAAACCTAGAGATAGGAAAACAGAAAGGACACGATAAAGGCTTTCAAATACGCAGCATAATGCAGCATCTAGGAAAGTAATAATGTAGACAGGATAAAAAGTCAGTTTAAATGCAGAAAGGAAAGTTAGGTTGAACATTAGGGAAAGTCTAATGACTTAATGGTCAGGACAGCAAAGCACTGGAATAAGCTACTAGTTTGTGGAGCCTCTGCCCATGAAGAATCTAAAAATAGGTCACACACACATACTAAGATCAGCATGAATGGTCACAAGGCTCCCCCTAGAAATGAACTGTACTTGGCAACTTCTTGGCCTACCTCCCACCTCTCTTTTCTATGACATGAAGTTTCTAACTAGGCTGCAGTTAAGTATGTTTATGGAGAACTGTATCTATACAAAGGCCAGAATAGCTGATTCACATGGACTAGAATTAATTTCCACTTCTTCTCCATGGCTGTAAAATCTCCTGAGCTGGCTCAGTATTGCTTTAGAGTTTTTGGAATCCAGCTGGTCCTACAGCTACAAAGCTTGTGATTCACATGGGGGAAGCTAAAGGATATTTCACTATTTCAGGCCCCAAATGCTGCCAATTAATTACCAGATGTGGTAGAATTCGTCTCTTGCAATGGGAAGGATGAATTCTGGTAAAGCAACACCATAAACGCTATCAGCTGGGAAGAAGACTGACCCTTTTGTACCTTTATAGCAGGAGACAGTTACTGTTCCTGACAACATGCAGACAAGTACAGTGGGACAACTGAGAATGAGAAGTGAAGAGGGAACAGCTTTGCTGCAAGCAAGAAAGGTGCAGCTAGAATTAGAAAGAGCTCACACCTTGCTTGATAAATCCACGTGGAGACATTGTGAATGATGGCCTGAACATGGCCTTGAAGGACCTTTGTAATGCTCAATGAACCTTCTACCAGCAGATAGCTGAGTACGAATGAGGGCTAGATCCCAATGGGAAAGTTGAGGCTGGATAATTCTCATCTGTGATTGGAGGCAACCATAAACATGAGCAGAGGGACTGGTGGCAAGCAGTCTGGATCAGAGGACTACCCCCTAAGATGCAGAGCAGGATGCCTATGGCTGGGGAGCACAGAGTGGCAAGCATAGCAAGCAGCATCCCAAATACTGCAG